AAAGCACGTGGGGATGGCAACTGTGGGCATTGGTAATCCAATTGAATACTTCGTCAGTTATTGTAATTTCCTCTAGCACAAAGTCCAGCACTGGAAATTCTCGTTTTTCTGGATTTCGAGTCACAAATTGTCGAAGCTGGTTTTTCAACACCTCTTCAGTTACATGACACAATTGCATGTACAGTGAATAGTATGTCGTAGTACTCATCTTTGAAACTGAATGAGGTGCGTTTGTTAAGAATATATTTATATTCTTGTCCCCACCACAAACCCCTATTCTATGATCATGCTATCTGATGCTTATTATTCAACACAATGGCTTCTTGCATCAAGTGCAGTAATGTATCCAAGCGCTCCTCATGTGACATGTTATGAAATAATATATCTTGATGACCCCAAGCTAATGTCTTTGTTGAGTTTGGTATCAAGAAACGTTTATCATCCGTACTGGTCAATGCTACTTTTTTATATAATTTGTGTAGATATTGTGCGACTCCGATTTAAATACATAAATCGTACAGTATACAGATGTCCGTTTCTCCTAAACAATATCCTTATAATGTAGCAAATGTAACTGATTTTTTACACTCGCCTTAGATACCTTTGGCTCGTTTAGCTACTTGGTCTACCGCATCTATACAGTATGCTTTGGGACCTGTACCATAAAATGCAGACAGTATCTTACCAGCATATTCGTCTTTCATCTTACCCAACTCTGACGCTGTTTGAGGCATATTATGTGGGTTTTAAGCATCATAATTGGATGTGTCAAAGTAATGTATGTGTGATTTCATGTCCTCATAGAAATTATCGGTTTCAACATGTACTATTAGCGAATCAGTGTCCGTGTAAGCTACAGACACCTTATCACCATATTGACGCTTCAGAAAGTCATAGAAAAAGTCATATATTAGCGTTTTTGAGACATCTAAAATACAAAAGCCAACATATGTGGGACGACAATAATAAATCATTGTTTTTTCCATTTGAATGGCTACTAAGTTTTCAGAAAATATTCTGTGCTCTTTAAAAGTTGGTTTACTAATATAATTTGCAGCACCTATTTTATGATTAGATTTTTCAAATTGAGTAGCTAATTTGATGTCGACTCTGTTCTCCATGTTTTCAATGGTTTTTGGAAAAATACAATTGCTCATTAGTTTGAACAAATCTCTTTCAAAAGGATTCAGTGCTGCATTTCTAAGTGTGGTGTTTAACTGTATGTAGGACTTCAACCAGGCAGATTGTGTGAATTTAATGCCTCTATGAATTTTTGTTAAAATAATACCATGTTTCAAACATTGCTTTAGATTACGATAATGGATAATGTAGCGTTCTTTGTTGTGCAAATTTGGAATTAATTTTGAGCTTTGACTGTCGGGTGGTTTAAAATTTTCTGGACAAAATGGTAAATCGTTGAAATAATCATGTAGCTCAGTCGGTATGGTTAAATCGACTTCTAATGCATACCCAATATCCGATGTATCCGAAATCTGTGTAATTGTCTCTTGAATCCTATCCATCTCATCTCGTGTTAACCATGCAAAATTACCAGTTGGTAGGTACTGTTGCATCGTATAACCGTACAAATTTGTTGCATCAAGGTAAACTAAATACGATGATGCCTTTGACGGATCGTAATGTGGTAGAAATTTATTGTTCGCCTCAACTTTACGTGATTTACATGTACTGACTCCCCCCCGAATTCCCTTTTAAAAAAAATGAATCATATCAACATCTGTAAGCAGCTGTAACTCTACTTTGCTGTATCGTAGCATCGCATCCCAACTCAAACCGGGGGCTGTAAAATAGTGAGCTGGATCAAGCTCGTACGTTTTTAAGCACAAATCTCTGAAATTTTCAAAGGTATCTGTTAAAAGAAGAACATCCGAAGTCAAGTAAAAATCAGAGTATTCCCCCAAATTTTGACACCCCATTACTTCCCAGACATGACGTGCTCGCTCATAATCCTCGTCAGAAATGTGTTCATCACGTATTTCATCATAAAAGTCTTGTTGGGATGGTAAACATGTTTCATCGTATTTATCAAACCTATTCAGATATGTATATGGAAATATACCTTTGCATCTCATGTAGGAGAACTTTTCGTCCTCAGGAAAGACTTTTCGTACCGTCCGACATTGTTCTGCGCTTAAAAAGGATGCCAAGGTTTCTAATTTTGACGATAGAAACTGATATGAATCGACAAATCGCATCTGCAAAAATACAGTTTGTGATTTTCCCTCGTGGGAAATGTACGTGTCTACAGGTATCAATTTCGTAAATGAAACATATTTTTCAAAAGATTGTGGAATCACTTTAATTTGTTCTTGCTTCATAGCGAGGTGTTTTATGAATAGGTGTGCATCATAGTTTTTGAGGTTGTGGAAAAATATTGGAATGTATTTTGGGATCTTATAGTTTAGATTGCATTTACTATGTGCTGCGCCACGATATTGCACGGTGAAATGACAGTGATCCCTAACTTTTCTATTTGTATTGGTAAATGGATGTTCACAAATGAAACATACCTCTGCTTTATCAAATACATTTTTATCGTGCGCCGTCATTTTCATCGCTACATTTTGTTTTAAATATTGATCATATATTAATTTAAGATCAGCCTCTAAACGCGTAACAAAAATTTGTGCAGCATCCTCACCCCTATACAGTTCGAGCTTGGATAGTGAATCATTATAAGAACATTTAATATAATAAGCAACTGAGGAGGGTCTATGTTCATACTTTTTGATGGTACATACATCCTCTGAAGCACTTGAGTGATTGTCTATCGGAGCTAGGATGCATTCAAAGTCCGCATAAACGCAAAACGGTAGTCTTAATTGTTTGTGATGCTGTTCAAATTTCAGCACATTATCCATTACCGTGTTTCCAAGGCGATCGACTCTGGTTTCCAGTTGAGGCAGCTTAACTGCAATGTGTTTGCAATAGTTTTGGATGTGAATTTCCATTTTGTCTTTTGATGCAAAGTATTGTAAACAGCCATCACAAAAATGCTTTACTCTCGTATTAAGTGACAACTGACTTGAAACGAGTCTTGAAAAGTTGGTAATTAAGCAGTAATGATGGTTACCTTCTGAATCATCAATAAGTAATACGTTCAGATGAGTGGGTTGTTTTTGCGCCGTGTAATGTAACGGTCCTACCACCTGATATTTAGCCTTTCCATCAATGAATTCCTTTTCTATTCCATAAACGTTAATTGATATATTATTCAATCTTTCAAATTCTGATATTGACTTGAGAGCAACTGGAAAGTCCATTCCTGCAAAGTTTAAACCAGGAATGTTCGAAAAATGTGGATATGACGTTGTTAGTGACGCTCGACCCTTTGGTTTTATCATACCAGCTACAATCGACCATGCAAAGCAGTACTCATCCGTGTTACGTATGTTGAGTACAGCTTTTTTGTTCGTGATTTCCTTAGGAAGCGGCAAATATGCTGCTGCCCTCAAAGGATTATATTTATTAATATTAATTTCTAAATATAAAATGTTTTCCAACACCCACCCTGAGTCTTTTTCTGCAAAGTCTTTCGATTTTTGTTCGATTTTACTACCTAGATCATAATAGATTTGATTCAAATTTGAGGATTGTGTAATTATTACATTGTTCGTATTGTGGGACATATTTCCAAGGTCATACCTTCTACCACTCACGACTTCAAGGTCACATTTCAAGGCCATATTTCGATTCAAGGTCACATTTCAAGGCTATATTTCAAGGTAATATTTCAAGGCCATATTTCGATTCAAGGTTGCATTTCAAGGCCATGTTTCAAGGTTACATTTCAAGGTCACATTTCGAGGTTAAATATGCGTTCAAGGTTGGCTCCCAAGGTCGACTCTCAAGGGCGTTCTAGAACAGACAAACCCTACCTACTCACAATTACATCAATTTTACGATTTTTAAATAATGAATTAAGGATTTTAATAACAAACCAGCCCGCCCGGCATTAGTGTTCTGTATTCCCCTCATTTCAAATGCCATTTTTATCCAAATCCGCAAAGACGTAGGGTCTAGTGTCGTTGGAACTTGACTATAAGTTACAGAACGTTACTGAAAATATTTGAATCATCAGAATGTTCTTTTCGTAAATGGTATGTCAGATTGGCATATGATGTCAGCCACTGGTTTAAGTAACATTTTTTGTGTCTTAACTCAACTTTGTTCGCTTGAATGACCAGATTTGATAGGTGTGAGGTCTACATAAGCTATAAATTTGAGTTCGCGAATATAATTTTTTTTTATGAAAGACATTGTTATTTATGGCCATGTTATGAGTTATTTACACACTAGAATATTGTTAGTATTGTAAAAAATTAAGTTTGGTCTATTAAAATACCTTATGTTGTGGTGTTGCGAAGTGACAGTATTTCGAGGCACTTCTACTGTAAGTTTGTAGAAAACAAGCACAAAAGAAATCAGTAACATCAAAAAACTTCAAATATGCGCGAAATATAAAGTTACGTTTAACCAGCACATCTGAGGTATACTCTATATAACGGTACTTAATTACGGTTTGACGTCTATTTAGGTGAACAGCTGATCAAGATGTGGGATCTTTGTGTTAAAATCTGTAATGTTTGCAACAGTCAATTAGGTGAAGCTCATGTGAAACTCAGGACAGAATTCAGATAGTAGAATCGGCTAACATAGACGGAAACTGCTTGTTTTATTCGTACCTTTCTTGAAATATAGCCATGATCATTAGCAGACATTTTGCCTGTAGTATTTTTTTTTGTATTCTATGAATTTTGTTTTAAGTAAAAGCGTTGTTAGAAAGTATGAATCTGCAGCGTATAAAGAAAATCCGTCTTTTATTGTCGTTGACAGATACGTCAGAATTGTATGTCACTTGCCAATTTTAAATGTTACAGTTACGAGATAATCAGTTGTTGATTGCTGTCGTGTAATGGAGTATCGTGATATAGCGTTTACGTAACATAAGACATATTTGTGTGATCTGAATGTTCCAGGAGACGGTCCTGAGCCGTCGCCCGACGTGTTGGTGTTGGAACCGCACGTCCCGTTCATCGTGCAGTTCATCACAGTGGTGGCGCAGGACGTCGAACATTCGGACGGTACGGTTGCCGTGGCAGCCGGAATAGTCGGCGATCTTTGCTCCGCCTTCGGCCAGCCGATGTTGCCGTTGCTCGATCTCGAACCGATCAACGATATGCTGGGACAGGGTAGACGCAGTCGCGTCAACAGGTGAGTCTGCTGTACGCCTGCACAGTACAGCATGTTCTGAAAGTTGAGACTACCTTTTTCAGAAACACCGACGTTAAAGCTAATTTGTGGTATAGTAGATCAAGAAAGAACACATCGTGGATCTAGTGAAATTTTAAGTATTTTTATGCTAGACAGTAAACTGGGTAGATCTATGCCAAATATACCGACGACTGGACAAATAAGCAATATGAGTGAACAGTAACTTGATGGGAAACATGGGCGCCGGCAGGACTCAAACCCGGATGTCCTCTACTCCGTGGAACAGACGTAATCAATTTGTTTACAGCATCAGCTGTCAACCAGCTTTCAGGATCGACTGTTTTATTTGCTTAGTATTATTTGTATACAGTAATGGACAAAAGTATAGAGACAAATTAATATTGTGCTGTATTTCTGTTTTAACTTGGTTTAATAATACACCAACCTGTATACATAATTCATTATAGCATAATACTCACTTATACATAAATACATTCATTAGACTCCCTTCAATAATAAATTAATTGAAAAAAAACTGGAACTATGAAGGACAAAAATATATAGACAAAGCAAAACAATTATAGAAAAAAAGCAAAGTTCATTGAATCATAGAAAACCAACCATGTTTGTGTTGAATATTTTCTGGCATAAACATTATTATCAATCACCGCCTGGCATCGTCTCGGCATAGATTGTAGAAGTTTCAAGAAACTTCTACAATCTTATATCAAGATATAAGATTCATCAATCTGTCTCCACTTTTGCTCTAAAGCGGCAAAAAGTTCATCATTGTTTGAATAATTTTTATCTCGTATTTGCTTATCTAAGTATTCCCATAGATTTTCAATGGGGTTTATATCAGGAGACTGCGAAGGCCATTTGAGAACTGGTATTTTTTCATCAAGAAAAAATTTCTTTGCGAGACTTGAAGTGCGCTTCGGGTCATTATCTTGCTGGAAGATTGATCTCAAGGGCATATAATCTTCCACATAGGGTAACATGACATGCTTTAGTATGTCTGTGTATATAAACTTATCCATAATGCCATCTATTATATCTAAAGGTCCCATCCCAAACCCCGAAAAGCACCCCCAAACCATAACAGACCCGCCTCCATGTTTGACAGTGGGCAAAGTGTACTTGGGGTTCAATCTTTGTCCACTAGGAAGTCTAACGTAATGAACACCATCTGATCCAAACATATTGAACTTGGATTCGTTACTGAAACATACCCTCTTCCAGTCACAGATGCTCCAATCAAGATGCAACCGTGCAAATTGTAATCGGTCCTTACGGTTTTTCCTCGAGATTAGCGGTTTCTTACTCTGGTGACATGCAAATAACTTCAAATCATTTAATCTTCTAGTTTTGGTAGAAACACTGACAATTCCTTTTGTCTCGATTTCGGCTTTTATTTGTCTTGGGGTTTTAAACGGATCTTTGGACGAAATTACTTTTATTGATCTAACTGATCTAGCATTTAGTTTTCTAGGCCGACCACTTCTCTTAGAGGCTTCCAAGATACCTTTTTGTTTATATTTGTTCAGTATTCCCCAAACTGCTTTACGCTTCAGCTTCAAATTTTTGGCAATGTCGGCTTGACGTTGACCATCTTTGAGTGCTTGACGTTGACCATCTTTGTATAACTCAATGATCTTAGTTTTCACATCAAAAGTAATTTCTGGACCACGTGGCATGGTCTTAAAATCACTCAACTTATTCCACAATACTTGATGAACACAAACTAATCCTCGTCTGACACGAAACTGTACTAACGTTGAAAAGAATTTGTCTACATATTTTGGACCCTCATAAAAAAGTGCTTAAGACTTGTATTGTGTTCATTGCAGATAATGTATAAACAAGGAATTTAGTTTTTTTACTAATAAAGCATTTGTTTATGGAGCAATGAAGTATGAATTCGTTTTCTAACGGTATTTAGGTAAATATTGATATTTGTGTTTATACTTTTGTCCATTACAGTATACTTGGCTATGAGATACTAAAATGTTTAAAGTAGTTCGGAGAGAAAATCATAGGTTTGACAATACAGTATCTCATTTCATCTCAGATAATTTTTGGAACATGAAATAAACTGCATGATTGGTAAGAACAGTGCCTAGGTCGACGAAATACGGTGTGTGGTCTGTGGCTTGTCGTTGATTGTGTCTGGCATCCGGCCGTGTGAATTCCAAAGCGTAGCAGAATGAATTCGTTTGGCCGGATCTTAGACACGGTCTCCGACAGGTTTTCGACTGCTGTACGAAAAAATCCGTAGCAAACACGCTCGCTAGTTAGTAGTACCTCTTGACCGGGTGTTGCGATTGTAAAAGAATAATAATAAAGTATAGTAGAATAGTAATATTTATTCGATCTACAGGACGAAAACGTTGGCAACGTGGGCAACAAAGGAACTGCGCAAGTTGAAAGCCGCCGCCAGTGCACAAGCGGTAGCTGCAGGTGGTGGACAGCAGACTGCTGCTCCAGCGGCAGCTGCGGCTAGCTGGTGAGTCTTCCAAATTTTTTAAATGGATAATTATGTTACACCTTGCTAAGCATCTTTGACACGCAATAGGTCTTTGGAGTTCAAAGGCAGCGTTCATATAAGCGTTTAGAGCTCCATGTTATCCTAAAAGAACAAAATCATAGTTTTTTGAGGATCAATCCTGGAAAAACTTTTGATACAATTTCTCTGAAGCAGCATTAAGAGTATAGATTCAACAAAATGTTTGCTTCGGAGGATTTGTAACATATCAAAATGTTTATAAATTGGTATGTTTTGCTTTTCAGATTCTGTTTGGCAACTTAGGGTATATCAGAAGAAATTTCAGCAAAATCGGACACCATCAATATATTGGTTCTCTATATTTTAGCATCTAACCAAAATTACAAAATGAATTTTCTTTTCTTAGTAACCAGTTTTACCGAACTGTACCACAAACAAAAATACATTAAAAAACACTGATCTTATTAAAACTGGTCTAGTACGGTTGACATGGTCTGGCCATAATGGGGCCTCAGAAAGGGTCAATTCTTTCTGAATGGTCCAGTTTTGGTTGCTTACCGTTTTCAACAATTCACTGATGGCATTAAGTAATAATGAATAGAGATTCTCGTATTACAGACATTATCAACAATAAACTGATCACGTTAAGTAATAGTGAATCGAGATTCTTGTATTATAGACATTACCTCTGATGTTTCTTTTAGTATTTTACGTTTTTTTTTGCCTGCCTCCATTTATCAGGTACCGTAATTTTGAGTGTTTTTAGGCGGTTTGTTTCTGCAACTTTGAAACTTCACTTTCATCCAAATTTTGTTACTAAACCATTCTTCGTACAAATATGTATAGTTAGGCCTTCAACTTGCAATATAGCTTACATGTCATTATTGAATGCCCGGATGGTTTCCCAAAGTATCCAATACAAAAAGCTAGTTTTCGGAAATAATTCGGTACCGATTCTGATCGTTAGAGGTAGTACTATCCCCCATTTTAGTGAATTTTTGAAACATGATTAAGCAATCAAAATGTCTTTTTGACCCAGGGATGTATAATTCAGATTATGTCACTAAGAACTCCGCGATGGTCCTAGTGGCGTGACGTTACTGGAGCAGCTTCAGTAATAGCGTATTAGCTTGACCTGTGGACAGGTATCAGAATTCCAAGTTAGTTGTAGTTGGGGTATTGGCTCGGATGAACTTTCTTCTAAATGTTACAAAAACTGTATCGGACTCTTGAATGTTGAATATAGGTATAGATATGTCATTCAATCTGATGCGACGTTGCCAAGGTTCTTACCTGCTGTTCCGAGTGACGTCATGCCTTGCGGCATAACCTGATTTTTACATTCTAATTTGGATTGACCCTGCAACGAGTGAATGTGTGTGCTCTACGCATTAACTCCACAGAAAAATCAAGAAGAGTTCTGATTGGTGCGATTCTCTACGTAAATGTGAACGGACGCTTGCTGTGGTAGTAGCGCGTTTCAATAAGACTGAATAGTGAATGGTTGTTAGTAGTGATGGTGTGCAGTCCCTCCGTTGTCATTTGATGCGTCCACATTCATTCATTTATTTTTGTTTTTAATAGCGACTCACACGTATGCGCGGTTTTTACACAGTACGAGGAAAAGTTCGAACTAAAATAGGAATAGAAATATATCTCAACAAGACTATAACTACTGCTAAGAAGGTATTTGTGCTCTTATTCTCGGTACCTAAATGTTATTTTGATGAGAGCGTCAAGAGAGGTCACATGGTACATACATGTTTAACTTTCGAGCGTCAAACACAAACTGCACACTACTATTGACGCTCGAGTTATTTGATAATTGTCAGCACAGCATTTAAACGTTTGCATATCTCTTTATTTTCTTGCGCCTATACAGTGCTTGTTGCTGCAACTTTTCTCGACAAGAGCTTTCGTGCCTAAGAATCCTTTGATTTCACCTAATCACTTTGACTACTACATGCTCGTCCACTTCAAGCGCGAAATTCAATCACGTGGCCACTCTCAATTCTCGATATTTGATGCTTAATGCTCTCATGGTGTTATACTTGATTCTTCAAAACAATATCAAAATATTTTTATTATTAATCTGGCTGTACTTATGGATATAAGGATGATACTACCTTTTATAATAACTTGACTAAATCCTTTTAGGCAGCATTTTATTTACATTGTCTGAACTTTCTCTCGTACTTTTGCTGGTTTATACAACATAATCATAGTGATAATCATACGAGCTAAATCTTACGAGCTTCAAGGTCAACGTTGTTACGCTTATAACAAGTGTTTATGCTAGGAATGTGACAAGTTATATACACGCATTCGTAAGTAATATGCATGTCAACTCTTATTCTGATCTCTGTGGTTATGATTATGACGAGTAAAGTGTTGTATTAATTATTATTGCACATTCGTTGTGGGATCTAATGGTAATTTGAATCTAATTTGAAATTTTCAAACAATCCTTTTATCTGCTTAAGAACTGCGTATCCTTGAAAGATTGTTTAAATTTTGGTGCTTATGCGCGAGAAAATCTTATTGTTGAATCTTGTATACATTTGGTCGATCCCATTTTTGTTGCGCAGTTTATAAGAAGCTTCAAGGAAAAAATTCTAGACAAGTTTTGCCTTTTGAGTTGATTGAGAGATTACTTAACATAGCAATTTCACAAATTCTCCAGAATCTTTGGATCTTGCTCATGGGCCATTTTGGAAACACGTGACGATAGTGCATTGATTTATTATTTATTTTTTGCATAATAGTAATTTCAGCTAGTTAAGGTTATACACGCAATTCCGGTGTCTAGAATTTCTCCCTTAAATCAAATGATTTTTACTCTGAGCATCTTTTTTGTTATCGTTGATTTTTGCACGTTTTCTAGGAAATAAAGCATGTTGCAATTCACTTCTTATCACTATTTGAAATGTTTTCGTTGGTTATATTGTTAACCCTTTATACCATTCCATAATTTTATCCATTCAAGATTTCCAAACTTTCCCATTGCATTATGTTTTTGCCCAGTATTTCTAGTGGCAATGCTTTATGCTACAACTAAAATCCGAGTATCCCCATGAAGTGTTAACCATGTTTAATCCTCAGTAACTTTGCTAAATGGTCCTGGAATATTCGGTTGCTTGTATTATAGCATCAAACTTGTCACTAGAATATATTTTACTTGTGAATCTCTAAATATAGGAATTTTCAAGAATTTTTATCGTGATAATGATCGCATAAATTCCATGTCCACAAGCGGACAATAATAGTTCTGAATCTATTATGTAACACAAACATGGATATATTGGAAACATTTGTTTTTATATCGTATATACCATTCTGTGTATCACAATCTGCATTATTTGTTGTTAGTATTCCTAGAAAATATCCAAAAGAATATGTTTGAAAAGTACGTGGATTTTTTAGCTGTCTGTGTGATATTGATAGGTATTTTTTACAAAATGATGAATGCTCAATGATGCTAAGGCAGGTGAAAGTTCACTGTATAATGGAGAGTTTATCAAAATTTGACGGTCACATATTAAAAAATCTGTTGAAGGTCAATTTACGATTGGATTGTTAAATAAAATAAGTTGTCCTTTGTCGGTACACACTAATATGAGTATTGCTTCAGACATTGATCTTCCAAAGTGTTATCATACAATATCCATATCAATTTTCTTCATATCATATTACTGATTTTTGAAGCACTTTGATATAAAAGTTACAGAAATATACTGTTAAATGTACAGAAAGTAAATTGACATTCAATATTTTATAAATCAAGATAAGAAAAAGTGTCGAATAATGGCAATCAAAAAAAAATAACATTTGGGTATAATATGTGGCCTTTAGTAAAATAATAACCAACAATTGAACCATCCAACGGTACTAAGTGAAGAGGAGAGATATGGAAAGTGATGATGTTTATAAAAAAGTGGTGGTGTGGGGCATTATAGACCATCTGTACATTTTAATTTTTGTTTTATAACAGAGCATTCAGGGTGTATGTCATATACAAAGTTCCAGTTCCATTATCCGGCTCGAAGTATATATTCCACTTTTATTACTGAACTGTACTAAAGATTGAAATGCTTAAAAAATGATTAGGTATTTATCAAAATCTACAAAACTTCGTTATGCCGGACTGCTGGACATGATCATACTAGGCAGTTGTATTGGATATCATATTGAGCTTATCTGCCATACATATAAAAAAGTATTGTTTAGCAAGCAACTTTCAGAGCAGGCATTTCAGTCTATAGAATTTGAAGTGTTTTTGATCTACATCCTGAGAAAAAGGAAATGTTTAATTTTCAGGATTGTTTTTCTAGTTAGTGCTGTTTAGTTGTTATATTTTTGGGTTTTATTCGTCTCATCGTGTCGTATCTGAGAGTAGCTGCCAAAATAAATGAATCTTTTAGTTAGGCGCGAACAGTATAGATCGAATATTGTGTGCCATGTACGAGTATGTTTATTGGGAATCTGTCAATAAGTTTCAGTTCTACTCACACAGGTGGTCTAAACAGTAGACCAAGATACATGTTCAGCACTTTTTGTATTTAATGAAATACATATCGTTTTGATCCAAAGTCGAAGTTTATGGAATGTATTTCTCTGAAGCTTATGCGTCAATGGTACAAATTGAGAAATCGCTAGAGTCCGTTTGAGTTAGGTACTTTTAGTTTGAGCAATATTACTTGTAGGAAGGGTTAAAGATCGACTCCTAGTCAACCCATCTATTGTACGCAACTAGAACTGTAAACCAGTAAGTTGCAGCATGATCATCTGAATACTTTTGTTAGGCACAAGATTTGTGGTATTGCAATGTTATTATATATTGCGACAGTTCTGCTTCTTATAGCTATTTTTGTTTAATCTAACAAATTTAAATATGTTGCTCAGTGACTATATATATCGTATCGATGATAGCGACTGATAAGTTCCTATGAGAAATACTAACCATAATTGTCAACAACAAAGGTATATAACTTGATGAGCTGACTAACGAATTCATCAGCTATTTTTAATTTTCATTTAGTGGAAATTTAGACCAAAACTGCTTTGTTATAAAACAAGTTCACTTATTTTTTGCCTTACTGTGGTATCTTGAGAATAAGCGATAACTTCCTTTTAAACGCCATTTGGATAGATTAAATGGAAAAAATCAGTGCATTGGCTATAGCAAAACCATTTTTCAAATGATTGATTTTTTATATGGATATTTCGGATCTGAGGATTTTACGATACCTTAGTCTACTCAGGTAGCGATTTTTTCATGAATATTTTATGGTATACGCGCGTGGCTAGTTGGTTAGTAAGTGATATACCTCATCTTCACCGAAAATAAGGAAAATATGATTCTTGGGTTCAATATTGAACACATTTTTTCTCTAACTGCATATCATTGTCCACATCATTAGATTGTCTTTGGTGAAAGTTATATTTTGGATAGTGCTAATCGTAATTTTCAGTAGACCGATAAGGCTTACCAATTTTGAATATTAGACGTGCTGAAATGTATCTTGATTGCAAAATTATGGAAGCTTTGCATTACTATATTTCATTCTCAGGTAACATGAAGAAAACGTATGGTATTTTTCTGACAGTTTACAGTTAAGGCCTGAATGTGCCTTGTGTGATTGGGAAGGGTGATGTTAGAATACACAAAATGAAATCATTCCAGCGAAATTTAAACTATTAAAATTATTGGAATCACAACTACACTTTTAGATACAGAAAACGTTCTTTACCATTGAGGTCATCAGAAAACGTCATGTGTATTCTTTTAATACCACTAGATACATTTTGTGTATTGTAGGGTCATAAGTGAGTTGTGTGAACAAAATGTGGCTGTGTATGATGTGTACTAGTTCAGAGAGTGAGAGTAAGGTATATACTTAATAAAAAAAGAATCTGTGATTTGAAGGGGTTTCTAATGATGCCAAAAAGAAAGTAATTCCATTAGTTTTATAATCGTAACTAAGAGTGAGAAACCTTTTCAATGTGCGTAATTATAATTCTCAACAATTATAATTATAAATTCCTTGTATGTGTGATATTTTGTTGAAAGTTGGATTAAAAATTCCAGCAGACTTATTCACCCATTTCCTACAAAATAACTTTTTTATTTCTACCTAGATAGTCTTATGGTACATTTATTTCTCCTGCAACAGTATTTTCTGTGTGAGTCTATGAGAATTGTATTATAATTAGATTTCATTTTTCTTTCTCGGCCCTCATTTTGTGAATAAGTAGCATGATTTTTGCAATTCTTAATCCCTTTCAATTATACTTAGACTGTATGCAACTTAGTATGTAAGGCGTTTGATAGCGATTTTGTAAATAGGGTGATTCATCTGATTACAGATAATTTAAACCATGTTAATCTACAAAAAAAAATCAAGAAACTATTTTGAGAATGCCATTATAGACCAGTAACAAACTGTTAAGTTGAATTACTGAGTGAAATACTTCTTTGTCAAATATGTACTTTTCTTTTTGATAGGAGATTTATGTGAATAATGATCAACAGTTTGATCCATTAGCAACAATTCTTTTGGTTATCAAAACAAAAGTTGCATTTATTTGGCTATGTCATTGTTTATTTATAAATAAAACCTATACCCACAATTAATTGTTTATCTTTTTTGTGTATTTGGGGGAAAATCTTATTGAGTGAGTTTCCCATGTTGGGGAGGATTGAAAAAACATTGTCTAAGTGATTGCCGCTTTTTTTAGTTTGTAACAAAAATGCCGTCCTTATTGTTCAATGTCAATACTGAACACTAATTTATAAACTTGCAACAATTTTATAACTATATCGACTGGACTATTATTCCATCTCAATTCCGTGCCCGCTTTCCACTGACTCGATTGTGTCTGACTGCTCCCGACATTTCGTCGGGTATTTATTTCTCCGACGAGTCCTGAACTTCCTTGGAACTAGTCAAGATGTTAGATGCATCTCGAACCACGGCCAAAACTTCTAAGTAGGCGCAGAGCTCACGCCCGGTCTCGTAACTGGTTTCCTAAGCCTCGACATTGCGTCCTATCGCCACTCAAGGTCCCAATTACCAGGGCGTTACAAATCTTTGTTAACATGTGGATTACGTCGCGAAAATGTTTTTGCTTCAGTCGGTACATAAATTATTTCCTAATCTAATTTTGGCCAATTTTAAACTCTTAACTAACTGCTGTCTATACTGCTACAGAATGACGCCTTCAACCTATCTTGTAGTTGAGTGCTATATTATTACGAGTATTAATTTAAAAAAAATGTCAAGGATTATGTTCGTCGGAAGCTGGTCCCTTTAAGAAAAAAGTCAGCTACGAACATGTAAAAATAAACGGATCAATACATTTAGTCCAGAAATATTTTTCCTGCCCTACAGATAGTACCATCCATTTAGCAGCGTGGCAATGACGGAATCTAACAGGTGGGCTGAAAAGTTCGTAGGCTGGCATAGAATTTTTTTATATAGAATTTGATTTTATTATTCGATATAGTTCCCTTAGAGGGCAATACAACGATTATAGCGGCCATACAATTTCTCGATACCATTTTTATAATACGATTTGTCTTTAGCCTCAAAATAGGCTTCAGTCTCGACGATTACCTCTTCATCGGCGCGAAACTTCTGTCCAGCGAGCATCCTTTTGAGGTCTGAGAACAGAAAAAAGTCGCTTGGGGCCAGATCTGGAGAGTACGGTGGCTGCGGAAGCAATTCGAAGCCCAATTCATGCAATTTTGCCATCGATTTCATTGATTTGTGACACGGTGCATTGTCTTGATGAAACAGCACTTTCTTTTCAAATGAGGCCGCTTTTCCGCGATTGCGTCTTTTAAACGCTCCAATAGCGCTACGTAATAGTCGCTGTTTATGGTTTTTCCCTTTTTGAGATAATCAATGAATATTATACCATGAGTATCCCAGAATACTGATGCCATAACCTTGCCAGCCGACTTTTGCGTCTTTCCACGCTTTGGAGTCGGTTCATCACGTGCAGTCCACTCGGCTGACTTTCGACTGGACTCCGGTGTGAAATGATGGAGCCATGTTTCAACCATCGACACATATCGACGCAAAAATTCGGATTTATTACGATTAAACAGCTCCAAACACTGCTTAGAATCATCGATTCGTTGTTGTTTTTGGTCGATTGTGAGCTCGCGCGGCACCCACTTTGAACAGAGCTTTCGCATATCCAAATATTCATTCACGATATGACCAACACGTTCCTTTGATATCAGCTATCGCAATCAACTTTACTTTACGGTTATCAAAAATTATTTTGTGGACTTTTTTTTTGATGTTTTCGTCTGTAACAGCCTCTTTGGGGCGTTCACTGCGTGCATCGTCTTCGGTGCTCATTTCGCCTCATTTAAATTTAGCGAACCACTTCTCTACGGTAGATTTTCCTGGTGCAAAGCCCGAATAATGTTTAATCAAGCCGAGCCTTGGTTTCAACAGTATTTTTTTCGCCAAAAAGCAATGCTTTATTAACACACGAAATTCCTTTTTATCCGGTTTTTCAAAGTAACAAAAGTTGTTTCACTAAAAATGCTATAACTCAGGTACTAATAGTGCAACAGCTGTCAAATGTATACTCGCGTCTTTTGCAGGTTAGGGCTAACTGAAAATTATATGGATTTGATACTATTAGTGCCATCTATGTGTGAGCCTACGAACTTTTCAGCCCACCTGTTATGATGTGTGAAATACGTCTAAAGCCGCACACACAGAGATTCCAACGCAAGCCAAGGCACATGTAGTTACAGTTTTGGAGGTGTTCGAATCGGTGTGTACGGCGCGAGCCGACAAGCTAACGGTTTCCAAGGTCGGCGTTGGCGTTCGCTCCTTGATCGGTACATCAAAGCGAGGTATTTGGTCTGGACAAGATTTGATGCGCTTCTAGTATTTAGTCGTTTGTCTGCATTCAATGAGAGGACCGAACTTGACCCAACGCGGTACATCTCGAAACTAAGTTTAGGTGTAGACGAGCGCATTCCCACAACAAACGCCAACGTCATATGTGCTTGCATTCGTTTGCTCGGCGATGGATTTTCGGTCTGTAGGTACGCGGCTTAATACGTTCATTGGAAGTGACTGAGATTTTTTTGTCCTTAGTTCCACCTCCACTGGACCGATAGTCAAAACCTAAAAAGCTTTTTTGACCTTGGCATCCCAGCAATGCTTTGCAAGTAATAAACCAAGGATTAGCGGACATACCGACGGAATTGAGCATGGATTTTCGTGATGTATATAACATAAAAAAATCTCATTTTCGAATTTTGTCGCGATTAACTTTCGCGTCAGTAGCCTAGGAAATAAACTGGAAACATCACGCGGAGGATAGAAAATGTTGAAACGCAACGCTATTGGCGTGACGTCACCATTTGCCATTGACTGTCGATCTGTCAGCTTTTCACTGTAATTTGTAGCAATAAAACATACGTATAAATATTTACAGACGGTATATCAAAAACTCGATAGTAACCTATCGAAAAGAAATAATCAAATGACATGTCGGTGACGTCAGTGCGAAGCGCGCAAAAAGGCCGCGGTTAAATCAACTTCACTGGCATTGCAGTTTTAAATATAGACATTTCCATTACTGAATGTGTTAATGATATTAACGTGAATAATCGACAGGAAATACAAAAAAATCATGCATACTCTCTATTGCAGTATTCGGATATTCCGGACTAAAACAAGATTACATTATTTGTACTTTTAACTTGGCATCTTTACACTATATTTTTTTATTATATTCACATACTGTATCGACAAAAACATATATTATTCAGTCCTCGTACTCCTACCCATAGTCTTAGGCATCTTCTTGTTGGTTGAATCTTCAAGTTCCTTAGGCTTGTAATAGTGAGGCGCTACTTCTAGTAACCATCTACTATCGATTGAAATTACTTGTCTCATAAATTCCTTTGTTGTGAATACTAGTTCATGATACAACACCCACCTAAAAACAAAGCTTTTTTATAAGTCTCAGAGATGGCAGAATAACGTGAATCAATTTTTTTTCTTGAATTTTATATTTCGGCTTATTCATTCCATTTCTTAAAGTGAAACTAAACGATAAGAGTAGTAAAAAACCTATGGTTCTTCTCCTATTATATTCTACAACATTAAAATTCAAAACTTTTATCCCACCTAAGACTCCTAGTCAAAGAGTCTTACCAGTGTTTATTTGGACTGAAATTTGCCGAAGTATTTCCACCATCTCTCGAATCTTTTGAGCTTTATCAAAATATTTAGTCACTTAACTGTAGTATTGTCTATGACATATTACAAAAGTAGACCACCCACCTGGGAAGATCTTCAAAAAGCGAACTATTGGGATGTATAGTAACTGTCTGATTGTGTTTCACTGTCTTGTAGTTTCCACCTTTAGAAAGTCTGGCTATGTGGTAGAAGTACCCAGCAGTGATAGATTTTCGAATGTTCACGCATTCAGTGACATTAGAAACCATTTCAATTTCTACCCTTTGCATCAATCCTACGAGTTGTTCCCTTATGTCTCTGGCTCTTCTCATTGACCTGTTCATTTGTATATAATTTAATGGAGATGTTTTGAACACCCTAGGTACGAGTTCACAAGCGCGTCAGACTATTGGCACTAAACAGATTTTGCAAATCTGCATAGAGTGTAATGAAAGTGCACTTATCCACATTGGACTATTGGCAATCTAGTTTTTTGCATGATATTTCCAAAAAGGACCACATTTAATGATTCTTACATTAATAGTCCCAAAATCAAAATAGATGAACTATTTTTTAAACAAATTCTAGAAATAGTTTTTCGCTCCTCTAATTTTTTTTCGGTTTCTTTTTTCTGGCATTCTGGACAAAAAAGTTTATCCAAACTTCTGTGGAGTTGATAGTTTTTGAGATGAATCGATTCAATATTAGAAAAAGTGCAAAATTTGCCATTTTTGACCCTGAAAACAATATGAAAAAACGAAAATTTCAATGTTGCCAAAGTTCCTAAATATTCTACAAATATCAGTTAACAAAACCAAGACATTTTAGAGGATATAAATTTACTGTAAACCAGTGCGGGCGGAGCTAGGGGAAAAACACAAAAAGAAAATCGCTCAAACCTCGTTTTTTTACGTTTCAGAGGATCACGATAATCTGCAGAATTTTTTTTAATAGGTTGTATTTTGGGGTTTGGGGCTGTAGGATACAGTAATTTTACGCACCTCTCAGTTCACATTAAAAATGTTGCCATACAGTTGCTCTTATAACTTATACAGAGATATTTATAGACGCAGTCGGTCGGGACGAGACAATACGATGCAACGGCGACTTTCATGAGCCGAACCCTGCAAAAAACCTAAAAATCTTTCGTCCGGAGCAAAAAAAACAATTTTTGCAATTAATGTAATTTTATTCAATTTGCGACGCAATTTTGGGCTGATAACATGCAGATATGTTGAAAATAGTAATTTTTGAATAAAATTATGCAAAATACAGAATATTTTTCCGAGCAGATGGGTTAACTATTTTGATTCATACCGATGACGTCATACGGATTGATCAGGGAAGTGAATGGGTCACCATTGCCAGTGCCGAAAGTGTGTTCATTGCCATTCCAGTCCCATTGTATTGAAAATTCTATTGCAAATTGCCGTCGAGCAGGTAATTCGATCGCTGCGAACACAGGTGACGCACTGCCACAAATTGATTGATTAGCTTAATGGTAAAAGTCTGATTGGTTTTGTAACGCGTACCTTTACATAAGATCGTTTTATTACATAGTGAATAGACAACAAACAGTCGAATATTTTTGACTCGTAGATAGATGGAGTAACGAAATCCCTAGGTTTTATCATTCGCCCTCGCATGTGTACTTGAGAAATTGAAAAAGTTCATGTATGTAAAAAAGGTGTCAAATCGCTGGAAATCAATTTAATTAATAATATGATTAGCTAAATCGTTATTTACCTATACTGTATGAAGTTTTCATAGCACCATTGTGTAGAATAATCCGTATCCTTCCACTGATTATATACGTTGAGTAAGCTAAGATGATCTCCAGCCAGGTGATTGAAGTTTTTCCTCGCTGTGTCTGCGTGTATTATTTTATCCTTCGGCCTATAGAATATGGCGCTATTTATTGATAACATTGCTGCTATCGTCACTAGCTCTTCTGAACATTTATACCTTAAATAATAATATAATTAAATGGTATTCATTTCTCTATAAGCTTTGAACCATCTTTCAATTTCAAATAATCACTGACGCTTTCCATATCGTGGTTTATAACACTTTTATTCTTGACACCTTACCAACAAAACAAGTTTTAACATTTATCATATTTGCTTCATTTGCTCTAAACTATCATCAACCATTCAATAGAGTTATCAAACATGAATCATATATTTTAATAACAGTTTCGTGTATGACATATGGGAACATTGATAATAAATTCAAGAAAACGTACTTTTCACCGGCAAGAAGCATCTTTGCCATCATAGGGTCGACGGGAAATTCAGCCATTCTTCTACCCAGCTTAGTAAGCTCGCCATGATGATTAAGAGCTCCAAGTGCATATAACTGTTCCAGTGCCAGTACTAAAGTCTCGTGAGGTGGTGGATCCAAGAAATCGAAATGCACCTAAAATGGAATTCATTTTTATAAAAAATGCTTAAGCAAAGGCTAGAAGACCTTTTGATCACAATGACGGCATCACAGCATGTAGGCGTTCAAGGGAGGCAGATCAATGAATTCGGCAGGGAAATTATGTATCATGAAGAATGACATTGTCGTTTTTTTTTGACATATAGAGATATTCTTTACAAATTAGCCAAAAGTATGGATTGCACCTACACAATTTCGGTGTCAAACAATGCTATGTAAACATACAGACTGTAATAAAAGTGTGGAACGCATCAAATATCTGACGAATGACTTATCTAATTTTTAAAAAAATTGGTATGTTTACGTTTCGAAACCACGGCGGATCCGTTGATGATATCCGCGATGTTGCCAAATCTACAGTTTTTCAGAAACTGATAGCAACTTTTGTTTTTCTTATTGAATGCACATTTTATTCGATATTTGTATTCTGCGAGAAATTCTGAATACTTTTTATTGAACATAGACATAGAACAACGTAGACCTCATAATTTTCGTCATAACAATAAAAGGTATTTTTTTTCAGCTCAGCAATGACTGGTATTGAACATAATTTCCTGTCATTTCTGACATTGAAAAGTCCATTGAGTTTTGTTGGTAGAGTTAATAAAAATATGATTTATTTAACTAAAACCAAGGGGATAGAAATTCTAATATTGATTAAAATAGTGTATTTGATATTCCAAGGTAATAAGCGAAAATTAAATACAAAGACAACGATAAAACTTGTTAATTTAAACTTCCAAACAAGATAAAAATCTGTTATCCCGAATAAACTGTGCTCAATTGGTGAAGTTCTTCGTACTTTGGTTTTTGGGTGCAGTGGGTGTCTTTAATTAAAGAAAATTGATAAGTCCTGGAGGACAGGCTAACGAGAATAAATTGGTGTATTACCCCCTCGCTAAATGGTTACAAAAAAAAACTGAAATTAAAATTAGAACAAAGACGTTCAATCACGGTGTACAAGGAAAATTGTGAGACCCATATGAATATTTTACCTCGTGAGCATGGCTCACTCAAGTTTCAGTAAATATACAACCAATATCAGAAGGTACCGCCATATAAAAATAACACTATATTATTCTCAATGTATGTACCATGAATTCAAAACAATATATAAATGTTACCAGTGAGAAATTCAAAACATTTCTCTCTTTTTTACTACTAAATAGGTTGATGAATTAATTTTTGACGAATTCCATATTGACCTAAACAATAGATAATTAATTGGCACATCCACATGCTTAATTTTTGAACGAAGTGGTTGTGTTTTCAGTTTGTACGAGATTAAGACAGGCCTAGCAAAGTAAATAAAAAATCATAGTTACCTCTAACAATAAGGGTTCTCAAAAAATGGGGGAACTGCTCCTCCCAGGCGTGAGTCCCGCTCAAACTCGCCTTGGACTAACCCTGTAGGCGGTTCCCCTCTATAGAATTAGAAATCATGTTGAGGAAATGAACGTGCGGCTTGGAGAAAATGGTCACTTTCCAGCGATGGTTGAGGGTTAAATCTCTAAAAGGGTGAGAAAAGGCCCCGACAATAAAAACTACTAAAGGGGGGCGATTTCTAATAAAAACCACTCAGTACCCTAAAAAATCAGGAACTGAGCGTGTGAACTATTCACAAAATCGGGCAGTGAGCCGCAGAAAAATTCTTACACCAGAGCGCCGGAAACAGCACCAAGTCACCTTCAGCTCTCGTATTTACGGTCGACAGAAATTATAAAAAATTACCTTCAACGAGATGGAGAGTACGATTTTCTACCACAAAATTATTAGACTGAGAGAAGTGTTTTGTTATGAAAATGAAATTCGATATTTTTAAGAACGGCTATAAAATTATTATCCTAAAAAAGAAACTGTAACAAATCATATTAAATGGTTAAATTGCCGTCCATCTTTTACATGTCCTGTTATTTCAAATTTCCTCAGCACCTTTCCAATAGTAGACCTTGTTATTGGATTCCGGTTGGGACATTAAAAATATCGTAAACTTTTTGCTGTGTGCGACGACGATCGCCATAACTCGGAATCATTAGAATGTCTATTCTCTCGGTTTCAGTTAAATGAAACATTCTCAAAAACTCTACTAACAAAACTCGATCAACTTTCTGTCAGAAATGACAGAAAATTACTTTCGATACCTTAGGTGAAAAAAATATATTTCATTGTTTGAATATTAATGCTTGACCGCGAATATTTCGAAAACTATGAGGTCTACGTCAAAGTATGTTGAATAAAAAATATTCAGACTTTCTCGCAGAATACACATATCGAATAAAGTGTATACCATTCCATAAGAAAAACAAAAGTTGCTATCAGTTTCTGAAAAACATCGCGGATATCTTCAACGGATCCGCGGTGGTTTGAAACCTGAACCTACCAATATTTAAAAAAAATTAGATGAGTCATTCGATATTAGATGCGTTCCAAACTTTTGTTACAGTCTGTATATAGGCTTGGCTCCTATCAATGTATTCGAATTCGTTGTAGCAGATTGACATCATGGTTGCTTGAGCGAATAAAAATATATCTACATGTCATGTCAGTTGACATTAAAAAATATGCAATTCACTTACCAAATCGTTGATGCCTAGCGCCTTCAACATAAGCACCGCATTGCCGAGATTGATCCGTTGAATTTCAGGCACTGTGTTGTCTTCCAATTCATGTTTGTATGACCATGCTGTATACAGTCGGAAACACTTTCCTGCAGCTACTCTCCCTGCCCTACCAGCGCGCTGATTGGCAGATGCCTGCAGACAAATGATCAAATATGGTCATCTAGCGGCATCGCTATTAAACTCGAACTGAGATCCATGACAGTTCCAACTAATAGCAGCGATGCGCGATCCACAATGGTCGATTCTGGTGCGATAGATGGCTTTGCGCTATCTCATGGTGTTCTCAGTTGCTCAAGGCAGTACCACTCCAAGAATCTTGGACTTAATAGCAAAACTCTTCTGCTGGGTTCCGTTACAAATAATCTAATGATAGCCAGAACACTGAAACGATGCGTGCAAATGAGAAATGTCGTCGCGGTTCTCTTTGCGCTGCCGCAATGTCACCTGTGATCCCTAGAAGCCTCACAAATGAGCTAAAATTTTAGCTAGAGGAAATTGTTTTCGATGCCTTGATTTGTCCTTAAAATGGCCTTGAAGTCAATGGCCAAGGTAGCGTTCGGACGTAAAATTTGTTACTCTTTTCAATTCCAATGTGGGAAAGAGAGGTTCCATTTAAAAATATTCACTTGATCTTGAAAAGTCGTAGTCAAGGTCATTGCCAAGGTTACCGTCATTTTGCACCTCAAAATCTACAACTTTGTACTAGAATGCGCAATTTTCGAAATATTTAGCTGGGGAGATTAAAATGGAATACAGTGTATAGTTCTGAAGGTGGGGCGAGATTGTGCGCATGTCACACATTGCTAAAAAGTGATTGCTGAAAGTAATTATCTGTCCTGTAATCTAAATTTAATGTACCTTTGATATGGGCACCACAATCAAGCTTTCCATTCCCGTCCTTGAATTGAAATGGTTCTGTTTGACGAACCCAGGATCGATGACGTAGATAATATTGTCGATAGTAAGCGATGTTTCGGCAATATTCGTGGCTAATATTACTTTTCTAGCTCCAGGCGGGGTTGGTTCGAATATTTTCGCTTGCATGTCACTTGGGAGATTTGCATATACTGGTAACACTAGTAGTTCTTTGACTTTGGAGCCTAGACGTCTCAGACGATCCTGAAAATCAATAATTATAATGAAATGAGGTTAATGTGGGACTAGCGCGACAATCACATATAACACTTCTCTATCAAGTGCCGGCACACACAACGACATACAGTACGCACACCAGCAAGGGAATAGGACTGTACGTGGATCAGTTTCGATACTGAACGCCCAAATACGATAGAAGCAATGGATTCATATGTTTAGAGAAAGGTGATAGTATTAATACTGCTCACAGTCTATTAGCGTTCAGGAATATAGTTTCCCGAAATTAAGAGAACCGCGCCCACTTTCTCTCATTCATTCTGTCATTCCAAGAATTGGTCTCCAGATGACAGGTTATTTGTTGTTTCTTTTCTCCGCTAGAGAGTAGTGTCTTGCGGCAACTGCCTGGGCTGTCCTGTATCATCGGGATCACGCGAACTGATGATTACAATTGCAAAAGACGTCCAACCCCGATCATCGGCAAGAAGTAACTTTTCTTAAAGGTGTACCTGTCCTAAGGGCCCCATGCGGCCGCCCATGTTGTGACGTTTCTTGCTTTCTCCTGTATCCCTCATAGCCCAACGGTATCCACAGATACTTGGGCCGCAGGCTTGCGTGGTGACTCAAGCATGAAAACACCACGTGTTTATCAAAGTTTGGGGTGGAGTATTTCAAAAACAGGAAAGTTGGTTTTCTTCATATTTCGGTATTGAAAACTGAAGTAACGCGAATAAACGGTCGATTTGACGTAATCTTGGCGAAAACATGTGTTAATATAATGCCTGGAACATTCAGTCATTACTATAAATTGTTATCAAACCCAAGTTCTATCCTAATTGCAAATTATGCAAGATTCTTTTCAAGAGGTGTTGTTTTCGAATACCCAAAAGGGTTTCATAAATATTGTTTAGCTAAATGCAGCCTTCTATTTTTCATTTTAATCGTCAACAGTGGATAGATAAATCCGGACCCTTTGCATCACTATTGGTGCGGATGTAGCCCAAATAAACAGGACTGCACTTTCGGATACGTCAAAAAAGATACTCGTTTTACAGTCAGCAAGAGCAAGAAACATGCTCATCAGATGCATACACTCTAACAAAACGGCTGATTCTTCCTGCAACTGCAAGGGTCTTGCATTAAATTTAAAATCATTCAGCTGAATTTTTAATTCAAGCATGCCCATAATTCTGGTGGAATAGCTAGTAAGGTGGTTTGTGTGATTATATTTAATCTACTGATATACGTTTGATTGTATTATGATGTTGGATTTTCGGCAATTGAAACTAGGTTTTTGGGTATTAAAACCATGTGTTATTGAGGAAAAAAACCAAAACCTTGCTCGTTTGAATCTAGGAAACAGTTTTGTATTGCAATGGCAAATGATTGGAAGCAATTGCCTTGCAGACAAAGCAATCCCGTCTTGTAATTGCTAGTGATTACATGCAACAGTCTTACAGATTGTACAATGGTTCTAATAAGAATAGGACAAATATGATTTACCTGTAACAGTTCTTGACACGTTTCGATTTCTTCCTGTCCGGTGAGAAAAACCAAAATATCGCCCAAAGGCTGTGTAACATGTATTTGCAATACAGATACAACACATGCGTCTACATAATCAGCTTCTGGAGCTTTGGTATAGTAGATATCGACGGGAAATCTTCTGCCGGGTATTTGGAACATCGGCGCATCGTCGAAAAATTCTGAAAACTTTGTCACGTCTAGTGTGGCGCTTGATATGAGCAGCTTCAAGTCTGGACGAAACCTAAAAACCGCGAGATGTTATAACATGGGTGTACATTATGAATAATCTGATAATTTCTCTGGATCTTAGTGAAATAAGAAAAAAATCTGGATAATTAGAGGAATCTGTCTTCTTTGAAGAAAGATAACTTGATCGAGTATTTAGTAAGGGTATCGTTTTTTCAAACTACGTTTATATGCACTGGTAACTTGCTGACTAAAGTGCTAAAAGCGCTGATTATTATCTACATAGTTTGATTTAAAACAATATAACAAATACGAGTAAATCTTCTTGATATTGTTTTACTATGTGTTATATTATGTTTATATTGAAAAATAAACAAGAAGTCTAAGGAAATACGAAGCATATTTGTTTCAAATACCAGACAATATGGAGAGTGAGAACTGGCCGGGGTTGGTAGAGGTTTTATTTTTTCAAATCTAACAATTCCTTTAAAATACAGCATTTTGAGGTCAGACTGCTCAACTTACCTGGCAATATCTTTGACAAGCCCAAATAGAATGTCAGTATGTAGAGTACGTTCATGTGCCTCATCAATTATCATCACACTATAAGAAGCTAGATCTGGTTCTGATAAAAATTCCCTATGTAATGTACCATCAGTCATGTATTTTATCACAGTTCTCTCAGATGTGCAGTCTTCAAAACGAATTGCATACCTGGAACAAACATGTATAGCTAGTGTGATTCATTATGGTGCTTCCAAATGGGCCATACTTTCACTGCATTATCTAGAGCAACAAAGTAGCCAGCAATAAACCGTCATATTTTTAGTATGGTCCAGCTGTATTGCTACACTTGTACTAAATTTTTATCAGAATCCTACCTAATGTAATACAATGTTAGTAATGCAAGTTGCTGCGACGCGCTGTTGCCGGCATGAGGATGATGGCGGAGGTTTTGGTATTTGCCGCGGTAGTTGATTGCAAAGACGATAAGTTAGATATCAATTAGTATGTGTACAAACATTTACGTCTCTCCGTATTGTGGTTCAGACGTGATGCTGACAGGCTGGACAGACATTTATATTCATATATACAGAAGATGTCTCTTCGACATTTCGGAAACATTCCTAAAGATTATATGTGAAGGAACAAACAATGAAAACAGAAATTTCGTCCAAAATTCTGTATACTGCGAGGAGATAATTATCGCGTAAAACATTTTTAAATACCAACTCTTGTAGCATGTGATAATTGAAGACATAGGTGGATAAAGGTGTCATGTCACATTTCTTACCAAAGCCATCTTTTTCGATTTTTGGCCCCCTCACATACCTATGTAACCTGTTATAAGAGATATACCATATATTGGTAATCCTTTGTAAAAAGATAATTTCACTTGATAAAGGTCACATGTCAAGTGAATTGCGATTATTTCAGTTGATAAATGCTATATCCTATGTGACATAAAACCACTATCAACTAAATAAGTATCGACAAATAAGTTAGACTATGTTTTGCGAGTCTATTCGTTGTTAAGCACGCGTCAAGTTGTACTGGCCGCAAGATATCCATCGTAATAGACGGTTTCACCTCTACATCCTACAATCTCAACTCAAGTGTTTCCCAAGGATCGATCTTTGCTCCAAAATTGTTCCTCTCACATAACGACCTCCTTTCCTGTACAATCAATCCAGTTCACAGCTTTGCTAATGACATGCAGGGATCCAGAGTGACAAGCCAATCTCTACAAAACCTCAAAGTTGAAATAAAGCTTGTACATAGTACGAATTCCATTACGAAAGTATAATACAGGAGAACTTACCACATCCAAATAAGAAAAGAATGACAGTTTAAACATGTATCTTCTGATATTGAACACTTTATTATTATTATCTGTTACTTGACACTTCTTTCCACATATCTTGTTATTCTACCACAGTTTAATTTTCAATAGATAAAGGAGTTATGTACATTTTTTGCAGTTTTTCTAATAAAATAATAATTTTTCAGTGTCCCTAATCTTACACAAAAATACCGTACTTCAACATATCGAACAAGTGTTTTTGGTCAGAATCGTAAAATAATGGAAAAAGTTCTAAATCAAATCATGTTTTCCTAAATAACTCTGAACTTGCATTTTGTAACATAACACCTTTATCCACTTATATTCGATCTCAAAAATACAGGCACTGGTTTTAGAGATGCTCAACATTTTTGAGAATAATCCCATAACATGTTTTAACAGCTTTCTCATGCTCGGTGCATTCAGGTAATTTGAGGTGCTGAATTTGAATATGACACTGAAAATGAGCCTTCCGGGACTCCTTATCAGTCCCAGCGCCAATCTGACATCGGACTCAGGGATTCTTAAAATCAATACCCGATTTGCTCTGGAAAAGATGTTTCCAATCAGATCACAGACACTCTGAAGTTTCTTGGGACCAAATTTCGATTAGTAAATAAGCCGCCTCGGTACAGTGCTAAATTGATTAGTCAGTATATTCTTATGGTAGTATGATGTTTTCCTTTTAGTGAATGTGGAAACGACTACTATCTTACCCCACTTCATTCCCTAGTTTAACCCCCATTTCCTGTGCTACTCTCGCCGCTACTGACATTGCCGCCACCCTGCGCGGCTGCGTGCACCCAATTTTCTTCCCATCCTTAGTGAAACCCGCTTCATGAAGATACTGCGGGATCTGCGTCGTTTTTCCAGAACCTGTTTCACCTTCAATGATCAGTACTTGGTGCTCTCTCACTGCTTGGATCAGGTCTTCCTTGAAAGGATAGATTGGCAGGCTTTTCTTTGTTTCTTCTATTGTTAGACGTTTCTTTTCGACTTCACTTAGCTCTGGTTCTTTTTTCTCTCTCACACCTGTTTGGGGATTAGTTGGCATACATTTTATCTTGTATATCACCAAAAATGGATACTTATCATTTAGGTTTCAAGGAAAGCCATGGAGAACATTATTATGCTACACTAGAATTCTTTTCATCATAAATTTGGAGCTTAATTTTACATTTGAACTTTGGAGGGCAAGTTTGGGCACTTTTTGTTCAAACAGAAAATGAAAATACCAGAATATACTTTTTTAGGCAAAGTATTGAATATTCCGTCAGAATAGGAATTTTTGAAATCAGCCCATCAATTGAAAAGTATTTGCAGGTTTGTAGAAATAATCATAGAAATCATTCTTACCTGGCATCTGGAGAGCCTGTATAAACTCAATTTGATCTTCAAGCACCAGCTCATACTCATCCTTCTTGACAGCATCTTTGGCACCAAACTTGAAAACAGCCGATGCCATCTGGTCCTTCTCCCATTTTTTCTGCTCTGAATGGGGCACTTTCTCCAGCTCATCGACTTCAACATAGTCTGTATCTGCATCTTTACCCATGTCTCTGGGCATATGGTAGCGTTGTACGCGCTCCAATTCACGCGCTTTTTCATGCTCTTGGGCTAATTTCAAAAGTTCTTTCTTATGTTGCCTTTCCTGCCTCTCTCTTTCTGTTAGGCTATAGGCGTAGAGTCATACATTGTGTAATTATGGTATGTTCAAATTTTTTATTTTGTGAATGCTTAAAAGCATGAAGGCAAATGTTTTCATTTTGATATTAAGCTTTGATATTTTTGCAACATTTATATTTGAATTCTTTCTATTTCAAGAAAAGCACATTTGTAAGGCATTCAAAAGATGTTGGAACTAGTTTCAGTTTAAATTGATATGGTAGCTGCTCCATGGTCTTTATTTGGCTGAGTATGCCGAGTACTGGGTACAAACTAAGTACTAGCTGCATCACTAATTACAGTCTCAGTTAGCTGTAGTTACCAATTACTATTAGCAATTAACTATAATTGACAGTTATAAGAACTAATAAGCTATAATTGTACTGCAACTTATAACAGACAGTTATTTCTAATTAATTAGTTATTATAACTGGAAAATTGCAAACTTTCTACTGATAATTATAATTAGCTAGTTCTTATTAAAGACAATCATAGCCAACTGCATCTTCTAACCAACAAATATAGCTAATTTCAACCTGTAACTAATAAATGTAGCCGAATGCAAGTTGTAAAAGACAATTAGGTTTATTGCAAATTGTAGCTGGCAATTATAGCTAATTAATAAATTATATTATTTCATATTACTTACATCTCATCTTCAAATAGATATTCATCATCTGCAATATCAGCTTCAAGCTCCTGCAGCTTATCATCCTTACGTTTTTCCAAGTATTTCCTTCTAGACTGAACTCTGAGAGCAGGAATGACCTTTTCTCTCCCAGTACCTTCTAGTTTCAGCCTTTTTGCTGCCTCTTCATATGATCTCTTGTCGGCATTGTGGACAATATGTCTGGTATGCTCTTCATCTCGTTTCTTCAGCCTTTTGGCAAATTCATCTCGTTCTTTGATATCTTTCCGTAGTGCCTCCTCTTCACTATCTACACTTTCGGAAGAGCTTGATTCGTGCCTCTTCTTGCCTTTGTTACTCATTGTGGTACCTGATTTCTTTTATATAAGTATGCAAACTACTATTTTTATGATCATAATATAGGAAATCAAAAAAGTCACCCTTGTAACTTTTTTCTTGATGATAAACATAACCTAAGAAGCTGACAGAACATAATACGATTGTACCTCTACCCTTAGAACAGTAAGATGGTACATAGTAAGAAATCTGGTAAGAAATGTGACCTAGAACCAGTGCCGGATGCTCCGCTGTTCGATTTTCGTCCGCCGGTGCACATGACATCACGCTGAGAGTGATTCTCATTTGGATTCATATGGATAACCTGCATATTTTCACCTACAGGCTAAAAGGCTGGATGGATTTTCACATATGAAGTGTCGTTGCATTCGTCTTAGCAGTGCGAGTGACACTGGCTACATTAAAATTTTATACAAACCAAAATGGTGGATTTTAATAAAATATTTCAACCGTGTAATTCCTATTTCATAGGCTTCAGCTCAAACGGCTTGATAGACTTTCACATATGAGGTGTCGTTGGATTCGTCTAAGCGGTGCGAGTAACACAAGCTACATAAGAATCTTATAAAAAACAAAATGGCGGATTTAAATGAAGGATTTCAACCTTGTAATTCCTATTTCACAGGCTATAGCTTAAATGGCTTTCTAGATCCACAATAGAGCGTATCATGACTTTACTGTGAAAACAAGATAATTCCATTTTTCTACATTACCTATATTTTAGTATGCAGTGTGAAAATGTACGAAACGCCAAAAGTAGAAAAATGGAGTTATCTGATTTTTGCAGTAAGTTAGCGGTATAACAATAACTGGTATTGACTTGGTCTAAGTAACGATTTTTCTCCATTTTTCCATTTTTTACGATGTTTCTGGTGTTTCAAACTTGTATTCAGGTCTTTGATCCGGAAGAACATCCTGGACCTGCTCTGCCTGCATTGAATATAGTAAACACCTTGTTCAGCTTCTCAATTGAAATGAAAGCTGTGGAAGGTTTTGATAATCCACCCTCGCTAAGATGGTATATCCAGGAGTAAGTTTCATTTGAGGAACTCATCCTGCAATTTATGGCAAACAAAGCCGGCCAAATCTTCCAGCCCGTCATACTCGAGCTCATCTATTTCTCCTACAAAACTTCTTTGTTATAGTGAGCTGATACTTTAGGTACATTCAGTTTATTCGTTAATGATGCGGTTAGTGGAATGTCTGGAGTACCCTCTGACTCTACGCTGCAATACTCTGAGTATGCGCCTTCGTTTCGATCCCCAAAATATAAGACCTTATTCTATACTTAAACCCTAGGGAATAAGTTGAGCCTTTTGCCTTTTTCATGAGCACTTTTCCGATTTTCCCCATCAACAGATGTAGAAGGTCCAGGTGATGATAGAGGCTTGTGTAAATTTTCCGTAGAAATGGCATCATCTGTTAGAGCACGATACCTTTTACCTTTTACGGGTGTGACCCAAAAGGGTGTATTTCAAATTGACCGTATAGGCCCTTTCACAAATGTGTTTCGAGCAAACTCTAGAGCTTTTTAGAATGACTTTGTCTTTTCTTTTTTTAAGATGTAGCCATTTTTTGCTAAGGTTTTTGTCTTCAAGAAAACTGTGGAACTTCATGTCTTTGAAAGGATTCCTTTTAGGTTGGTTGTTGAAATTACATCCTACAACAACACACCGCATTTTTATCAATTGATCAACATCACAGGGTATATAAAGTATGTATAACTGATACAAGTCTCAAAACTACCAACAAATCGCACTATCTGGTTTATCCACGATACACGTTCAGTGTATGTGTATCGTGCCTAGAACCATGTAGCCTCCTCATATTCATAAATCTTCCGCCATTGTGGGTGCATGTTTACACTACACTGACAAAAGTTAACCAAGCGCTTAGATAACCACAGAGCATCATAGTTCTGAGGTGGTTCTGAGCGTAAATGCTGTTCTGTGCCCCTTCAGTGTAAACAGTTTATATGTTTTGTGGTGTAAACATGGCCACACATATATTTTGTGATGGCCAGTATAGCAATGTAAGAGGGAAATCACAAACTGAAGTTTTCAAAATAAAAATATTTATTGATATTGGGAGAAACCATAAACTTTTTCCTGTATCATGATTGTGTGGTTTCAATGATCATTTAATTATTAAATTGAAATGTTTTATCGGCAGCTACTCCTACTACTATGTTCATAACAACGGTTGGAGGTATTAGGTGATCAATCAATGCTACAGAGCTATAGAAGTCTGCGTCGGTTCATTATACACTTCCTTGGAAGTGTATGTTTCGTGGCGACTGAGTTGTTGTTCTTCCTCTTCGTCAGTCGTAATTTTTTTGACATTTGACAGATCAGATCATCTGATAATTTTGTGATTTATTTTGGTTTATTAATTAATAATATGACTAATTGTGGATTGTGTTATTAAAATTAGGCGATAAAAAAAGATGCACTGCTGTTTTCTACACTTGTAGGATTGTAAAGAATTAGCATGTGATGTGATTTCCCACTCATTCCATTATGATCTTTATATCCCTGATTTTTATAGTCATTACCATAATAAATAAGTGCCAAGCAGAAGTTTACGCAATTCCAGCAGTAAGTATCTTATCACAATGTTGAAGTTGTTAAACAACATCAATCCTTCCACAGGAATCTCAGTTCTATTTCGAGAAATTCGATGATGCCCCAGCTTTATTTGGACCCAGCCTAGCTGATGGTGGTAAGCAACTTTTGACCACCATTTGTAAATACAACGTCAGCCACTTTTTTTTAGCAATTCGAGGTCTACTAATTGACGCAGATCCTCCCAGTGGCTGCAATGCTTCCTTGAGGCCTCCTCCAACAGTCTATAATGACATTGGAAAATGGATATTGCTTGTACCTCGTCACACAGAAAAAGAGAATTGCTCCTTCGAGCAAAAGATCAGAAATGCACAAGCTGCAAATTATTCTGCTGTGATAGTCTATAATATCAGGTAAGCTTAGGTTTATGTGGCATGATTCACCTATTTCCTCTTAGATTGTTTATCTTTAATTTCACTATGAAATAAATGTTAATTGCTGTATTTAGACACTGTCAAGTATTTTAGTGTGATAAAAGAATTACCATTGTGTGATTAATAGTTTTTTGTGTGATAAGACCACATTAAAATCCAAATTTAAATTTGGTCAATTAGAAATGAGATGCATTTTAAAAGCAATGAACATGTTTTTACAATGGGAAAATCAGATATTTTTAACCTTTGGGTCTGTGCTTAATAATAATGATAGTTATGTACAATTGTAATCTAAAGTCATTATCACATTTGAGCCATGTTAGCGAAAACTGAAATGACCTTGACCTTCCACTAATTTTTGGCCCCTTTAAAGTAAAAGCACATTTTCAAATGAGCAAAGTGAAGCAATGTGTCATGTTTGATCCATACAAATCGCATGTTGTTATGGTTCTCACTGCATCTCTTCTTCTTGGTCAGCTTGCATTGTATGATTTCCAATCTAGTTGTTTTAATTTCCTCTACCATGGCAGAACTTGCACATTTTTTGTCTTGGACTGTACCATAGATATACAATACATAAAGCTCTTGTCACTATTTTTGATGGACACATCACAATGTCATACAAAGTAAACAGAATGAATAACTGTTTTATGTGTGTAGCTTAACTTCTCTAGGGGAGATTGCACACTGTGCAAGCTCCTCCTTAAGGCAGCGCTCTTGCAGACACACATAAATTGGGTGATAGAGCGCCATTATTTATCATCCACTTTCGGAAAATACATCTATATATTTAATACTGTCAACATAAATGTGGAAGACCATACATTTTCAAGATGGTGAGGCAAAACTAAAAAACATCCTCCCACAGAGGACAAATCCATATATGTATGTGTAAGAGAGATGAATGTATGGAAGTATTTCTGTAATTTTTGCTGTAACCCGCCAAAAACCGTGAAACGACGTTTTATACAGTAACATACTCGAAAGATATACTTTTGTTTTTCAATAGAAGGCAATTAGAAGAACAGATAATTCTACATCTGAATATATATTAAGATCTAAAATCAATGTTACCTCTAGAGATGCGAGGCTAGAGAAAAAAAATTATGGAAGTTTACCAGAAATATTGTTGAAAAAAATAGCGTCAGGCCTTTAGTAACCCCTAACAGGGATTTCAATATTGATCTTGGGTTTGACATTGAGCCTCACCTTCATGGTCTGTCAATCAGTTCAAACATTTGATCAAATGATTCACTGTGGCTGCTTGAAATCCAAATTCTGGTCTTTACCACACACCATGTGTGTTTAAGCCATCAGAATTCACTACACTCATACATCAGTTGCATAGATCCGCGTCAAGTGTATATAGTCCCATAGAATGTGGAGGAGCAATTACAAAAGTTGATGCTACTCTCATCCACCTTTTAGAAATACATCATATGGTGAACACTTGCCGCCAAGGGTTCACGCTAAGACGGAGCAGAGGAAGCGTCTCCGACACAGACATACCAAAAATACAATATCCAAGGATTAGCGCATGTCACGAAACTAACATAGATACACAAACAGTGGATCAAAGCCCTTGAGTCAACACGCATTGCAGTGAATCCAGCGCGCACTTAGGCAAGATTTTTCTTGGCTGCCTCACTTTCCTAGCATCAGCTAAACTGAAGAAACCTTAGCAAATCTGATGGATGGCGTCGTAGTAACTGAGACCTCAATTTAAGAATAGATGCCTTCAAGTTATTTAAATTCACCATTTCAACTACTAGAGCTTTGTAACCACACGAAACTGCATAAAGCAATTCGCTTTTTCAAAAACAAGAAAGCGCATGGACCTGATGGAATTCAAGCCCTTTGTATTAAATATATGGGTCTAATGCTGAAAACGCATCTTCTGCATGTGATCAGTTTTATCCCCACAACTGGATATTTTCCAATACGATGGAAACAAGGATATTGCGTTTTTATGCATAAATCTGACATGGGCACCAGATCTAAATCATTCTGACCAATAACTCTTTTAAGTATAATGCCATAAGTGATTGAGTGGTTTATCCTCAGTCGTTCAAACCCCTGGCTATAACACGCAATTTCACACTGCCAACACGGCGTGCGTACGAGGCTTTGGCCAATAAAGACATTGTGTTGCTGCCAACTGACGTCACTAAAGCCTTCAACAGCACATATCATAGAGGACTACTGTACAAAATGCAACAACACATTATTCCAGCTTCTGTCATACATCTTGTAGAGAACTACCCAAGTGGTCGAACAGAACTTTTGAATGTTTTATCCAGTTCACGGGAGTTAGTGAATGCTGTGCCACAAGGGCCAATTTTGGGTCCAGCTTTATGGAACTCATATGTGTCGGATCTTCCAAAAAACTACAATCTGGGAACTATTTTTTCACAGTACACAGATAACTTGTGTGTCTTAAAACTTTCCTCAAACCCAGATCGCACGATTATCCGCGCAGAATGGACCAAGCGCGAATTAATAGACTGATAGTACTGAAGCTTAATGCGCTAGATACTGTATTCTGTTCAGCGTTGCGCGGAAACACAGAAGTGTAATTGAAATGTGGAATAACATGTTATTCTCCATTAACTGGTGTCAAAAAGGAACCTTTCTATCTAAAAAAAACCTTGAAATCACTTCGAAGGTAAGGTTCATAGTTAAAACCTTGTTAAAAGTTACTAAAGACCTGTCCTTAATATCGTTGTCATCAATAATCCTGCTAAGCTTCTAGGGATTTTCTCTGGAAACTTATATTTTAATACTTTTTAGGATGTAGAAATTTACGTTCTTTCGACTGCCGGTGTCAAAAGAGGGTTTCCTTTTAAAACAAAAGTTGACTTTGAAATAATATTGATGGTGAGCTCTAAGGTCAAATCCAAGATCACCATTGAGGTGCTTGTTTGAAGTGAGTAAGGAACCGACCTTAACCTTTTTCAAAAATATCTTACCTGGAAAATACAGACCCGTTCCGATAGTTTTGTTAGATACGGTATTTATGTACAATTAAAATAAGAAATAAACAAAAAATATATTTGTCTTCTACCAACCAAAAAAGTAGGTTATTGCTGGCTGCCTGGCACGCAAAGTTTTCGTTCTGCAAATGACGCTTGCATCTCTAGAGCTTCAAATAGAAGATGAAACGCTTTTTGTCAAATGCCATCATAACATGACATAATGATGTTTATACCTGAGCCCTTATAAATTTCACAAGTTTAAGGAAAAGTTATATTATGCGCAATTCAAGCTTAGATCACAGTGGCGCTCTTGAAAGATTGCCGCGTTCTAAATCGCCCCACTTTGTTCAGTATTTGTCGTTCTGCTGTTGATACACAAATACTAATTTTGTAGATCTGATGAGTTGATTCCTATGGCAGCTAGTAACAAAAGTGGAATCAGGATACCATCAGTGTTTGTAGGTGCAACTTCAGGTATAGCACTGAAAAGATGTACCAATCCTGAGTACTTCGTCGTCATCACAGGAGATTCCCCTTTTAATATCCAAACACAGCTGCTGATTCCATTTGCTATTGTAGTTGGTATTTGTTTTATAGTGATGATAGCTTTCATGGTAAGTTATATAATGTCTAACATTGAAATGGTAAGCGCATTATGGACACCTTTGTTGTTTTAGTTTTAAACAGCTCCATTAGAGCTCATAATTTGAACAGTAGTTGTTATACTTCTTTGGGAGTCTCATAAACTTTAAAGTAGGTCATCAGAGGGATGTTGTCAGCATACTAATTGTCTTAAATAAATAGAGCACAAAAATTCACTTGGTTCCATATCTGTATTTCTATATCTTCTAGATTGTAAAATTCATAAAAGACAGAAGACGGCAGAGGCGTTACAGATTACCTACTTCTGCCCTGAACAAAATACCTACACGAAAATATCAAAAAGGTGACCCATATGAAACATGTGCAATTTGCTTAGATGACTATATTGAAGGAGAAAAGATAAGAGTGTTACCTTGTAACCATGGTAGGTTGACATATTATAACAAATATATGTGTTCAGTTATTTTTTAGAAACGTCAAATTTTGAAGTGAGATGAAACTCGTCTAGATTGTGCTTTCTTCAAGTCATCCGATCCACCCGTATGGCCTGAAACGAGTCATATTTATAGACCTTCCTTGAGGCGTGACACTCCCTTGGAACAATGGATGTCGGATATCTCCATAGAAACAGTGAAACAATGACGCTTGCTTGAGGAACGCTAAGGAAGGATTTACATTTTCATTCCACAGTTGTCATCATAAGCTGTCATCGAATGTCAGAAAGATTTTTCTTTGCTGGCCGTATCTATTTAGCATTTTGATGATAAAATTGGTACGATTTGGTTTATTTGTGCTAAACATCAATAAAAAATGCAAAATATTTGCCTTCTCGAATTACAGCACAATCACTAGAAGTATCAGTTTTTTACTTCTGACAGCTTGTGGTGACAACTGCTACAGCCTATTGTCAAATGAAAATTTAAATCTTCCGTTGAACATGCATCAAGGAAGCGTCGTTGTTTCTCTGTTTCCAGAGAGATATCCTTCTGATAACCATTGTTTCCAAGGAAGCCTCACGCAAGGTCTATAAATGTGACTCTAAAGGCATAATACAGTTCTAACGGGTGGTTCATTTAGATGTACTTTTTAAAAAGAAAAATATTTATGAGAATATTTGGTAACAGCCGTGATTCCGAAATATCAGTTACTGAATCATAGTTGGTGAAACAACTGCCACCACTAACTATAATGAGGTATTCTCTACGTAAATAAAATGACACTTTTAATAGTTGAAATAGGCTGTTTACATCCATTTTTCGGAGATTCTCTTTATTTTTCGTTTTCCGGTGGGAAAAAACATATAAGAAATTCGTACATTGTAATATCCTATTTCATGTCAAACTGTTGATGTCAGGAAACAACGGTTATTTTCCTCATATCTGACAGATTGTGGAAAATGTATGTCCGGTTGCACAGCCTTTCTTAAATGTACCAAAGGTGATCCTCAAACGGAATTTCTGTTGCACCATCACTCTGATTTGGTTAAAACTTATCTACAAAGAAGTTATATCTGACAACAGTGCATCTGTAGTAAATTTTAGGGAATTTACGTCTGTAACTACAAATTGGTTGTCTGTTTTCTGTCACATCAAATTTATACCAATAAAAAGGAACATCCATTAATATAATCACATTTACAGTAATGGACAAAAGTATATAGACAAATTAATATTGTGCTATATTTCTTTTTTAACACGTTGACTGCCACCTTTTTTCGGTTGGTTTTACCCAGAAGCCAATTAGTTGTATAATGGTTAATTTGTTATTTTGGTAGTTTAACTTCCTAAAATCAGTTATTGAGGTATTTTCGTAAAATGTTTTTTTAATTAGAAGATTTTGTGTGGCTCTTCTAAGCGCCGACGGCACTGACTTACAAATCGGTTTCCTGTGTGCCAGCTGGCGCTTATAAGAATCGGAAGATGATTATTTGTTTTTTATAATAGAAATAAACTAAAAGCAAAATAAAACATTTACAACAACCTTTAACAAAAATAAAATGTTAAAAATAATTTTTGTAACTCAAAACAGTAGAGAACATATAAAAGTATAACAAAAACTTTTCCGGTAAATAATACACCTAATGTGATAAAATCTAATAAAAAATAAAAAATTAAACAATTTTTTTTTAGAATACAAACATGAATTTGTGGTGAATGCAGACTATTTTTAGTGCAAAAAATTATTTGTGAATAATGTCACTGTACTCCAAGCAGAATCCTGGAACATCAGGGCATGTTCTACATTCGTACATCGTTTGGGTACGGATTCCCTTCTTGCTACAAGACTGGCATCTTTTTCTGGATACTTGGTTTTTACCATCTAAATCACGTTTTACTAATTTGTGCCCTTGAATGCCTGCAGTATTGTACCTTGGCTCTGATAAGAGTCAGCGGCACCGGCGAACATCTCGCGTTGACTCTTATAAGAGCCAGCGGCAGCGAACGTGTTAACTTGTTTTATTAATACACCAACCTGTATACATAATTCGTTATAACATAATACTCACTTATAGATAAATGAATTCATTAGACTCCTTTCAATAAAAAATTAATTGAAAAAACTGGAACTATAAAGGACAAAAATATATAGACAAAGCAAAAGAATTATAGAAAAAAGTTTATTGAATTATAGAAAACCAACCATGTTTGTGTTAATATTTTGTAGCATAACCATTATTATCAATCACCGCCTGGCATCGTCTCGGCATAGATTGTAGAAGTTTCTTGATATAAGATTCATCAATCTGTCTCCACTTTTGCTCTAAAGCGGCGAAAAGTTCATCCTTGTTTAAATAATTTTTATCTCGTATTTGCTTACGTATTTCCAAAGATTTTCAAAGGGTTTTTTATCGGGAGACTGTGAAGGCCATTTAAGAACTGGTATTTTTTCATCCAGAAAGTAATTCTTTGCGAGATTTGAAGTGCGCTTCGGGTCATTATCTTGTTGGAAGATTGATCTTAAGGGCATATTGTCTTTCATATAGGGTAACATGACATGCTTTAGTATGTCTGTGTATACAAACTTATCCATAATGCCATCTATTCTACGTAAAGGTCTCATCCCAAACCCCGAAAAGCACCCCCAAACCATAACCGCCTCCATGTTTGACAGTGGGCAAAGTGTACTTGGGGTTCAATCTTTGTCCACTAGGACGTCTAACGTAATGCACACCATCTGATCCAAACATATTGAACTTGGATTCGGTACTGAAACATACCCTCTTCCAGTCACAGATGCTCCATTCAAGATGCAACCGTGCAAGTTGTAATCGGTCCTTACGGTTTTTCCTCGAGATTAGGGGCTTCTTACTCGGGCGGCGTGTAAATAACTTCAAATCATTTAATCTTCTACTTATAGTTTTCTTAGAAACACTGACAATTCCTTTTGTCTCGATTTGGGCTTTTATTTGTCTTGAGGTTTTAAACGGATCTTTGGACGAAATTACTTTTATTAATCTAACTGATCTAGCATTTAGTTTTCTAGGCCGACCACTTCTCTTAGAGGCTTCCAAGATACCTTTTTGTTTATATTTGTTCAATATTGCCCAAACTGCTTTACGCTTTAGCTTCAAATTTTTGCCAATGTCGACTTGACGTTGACCACCTTTGTATAACTCAATGATCTTAGTTTTCACATCGAAAGAAATTTCTGGACTACGCGGCATGGTCCTAAAATCACTCAACTTATTCCACAATACTTGATGAACACAAACAATCCTCTTCTGACACGAAACTGTACTAAACTAATGTTGAAAAGAATTTGCCTACATATTTTTGTCCCTCATAAAAAAGTGCTTATATTCAGACTTGTATTGTGTTCATTGCAGATTATATAATACAAGGAATTTAGTTTTTCTACTAATAACGCATTTGTTTATAGAGCAATGAAGTATGAATTCGTTTTCTAAAGGTATTTAGGTAAATATTCATATTTGTCTATATACTTTTGTCCATTACTGTATTTCTGGTGATTTGATTGTAAATAATATCTTGCCTATATCATTATTATATTTGCTGCTGTAAACACAAAATCTATCATTTGGTACTTCTTTTGGATTGTATTTATCAGTTTAAAAACACTGAAGCTTGGTTATTTCTGATGAGTGGCTACAAAATATTATCACACGTGGTTTTTAAAACTTCGAAGAAACCGCAGTTTCTAATTGAAGAGTCGTAATTCAAAAGCGTCTAAGTGCCACATTTAGGTATTTCCGAATTTCTGTGATTTTAAGGTCTATGTATCACTGCCAATAGTATACCAAACAGTCTATGTGTAAAATTTTGGATAATACCTTATTATAACTTTAATTATGATTTCTTTTTTTTTCGTTTAAAAGTCCTGTAGCTCTTGAAAACATCGCTTAATATAGTATGCAATATTTCAGCATATCACACAAAATGCATTGACCCTTGGTTGACGAAAAACCGAAGAGTGTGTCCAATTTGCAAACGGAAGGTGTTTGCGCAAGGCGAGGCTCATCATGACTCTGACAGCGATTCTGACTCTGACAATGACACTACCCCTCTTATTAACTCTAACAATCGCGGTACCCAGGGCGGAACCTTCGAGGAAGCAACGCAGAGCATTCTTTCCTCCCTTGTGAGGGCTCATAGGTTAGTTTTCGTTAATTTTGAATATTTTAAACTACGATATTTTTGCTTTTAGATATCGCGGATCCAGATAGATCGATTAAGCTGGCAACGGACGGTGTGCGATAATATAATATAATATATATTATATCCTCCATATTACAGAAATATCGCTCCATGTGTAAACGTATTGAGACGCCACGCACGGACGCTTTAGGATATATTTACATCCCAGCGATATATTACTTATCTTTCGGGATATGCTTACCGAGCGATATTCTGCGCTGTATCTATTACCCTCTTGCGTCGCGTCACTTGTAAATGCCCACGAACCGCTCTTACTGGCGGCCGGCTTGGCGTGATGTAGCTATTTTACTATTTGTTCTTACACTTCGGGATTCGCAATAGACAAAATAGAGTATTTTATTGAAAGTGTAAGAAAACATCCATGTTTATGGATATACTCGAACGAGTATAAAAATCAAGATTAAAAAAGCTTGGAGACGTATCATCGCTGATTGCGATATATCCGTCGGTATGTATTCAACTTGTACATATTTATTTTTATATACATAGGTAGCTTGAAAGCTAATAGTAAGGGGCCCAAGAGGGGATTTTGGGATTTACTCAAGCGCGCCAGATTAACATATGGGAGATACCTTGTTATTTAAATACTTTGTGTACAGCACAGATCAGCAGATCAGCCTACTCACAGAAATGCAAAAAAATCGGTAGGTTGTTCAACACTGCTAGAAAGATATGAAAATATATATTCTGTAGTCTGTTGCAGTCATAATATAATATTATAGCGCATTGTACGACTATAATATATATTATATAGCTCACCGTCCGTTGCCAGGTTTCTGATGGTCGAGTTTTGCTTTAGATTGCTATTTACTTGCTTTGCCATCTTTGTATCGTCCAAATTCTATACATCACAATCTCAATGACATTTACTGTACTATAGGTCTATTTCCCAGCAAAGTGGTGCTGGCACTATAGTGACCATAGTGACTACATCTGATCGACACAGTATCAATGGTGATTATCACAGTATATCCAGCAACACTAATAGTACTGAAAGTTCAGAAACGGATGAGGGAACTGCCTACGACAGTCTTGAGGTAAGTATTTCAATTTGAGGAGTGTATTTGAGTTTTTTTAAAAAAGCAAGAAACTTTTTAATATATTGGTAAAATCTTTGCATCTCCCACTTTGATGTTCTGTCATTTGAATGGAGGGAAATATTTGCCGCTTCTGATCATAGAGAATGTCAAGACAGAATATATTGTTTGATTGTCCATTGAAAATATTAGTTTTTCTCTTATTTAAAACGATTTTAAAACCGGGAGTTTTTACTTTTAGTTCCCACATCTATTGGAGAGAAAGTATTGTGATCGCGAAAATTTTCGAAAATAAGATATTTTTTTGATGTTATATGACATGTACATCACGAAAAATCATGTCACCTTTCCGTCGGTCTGTTTGTTTGTCGAACCATTTATCCGTTAATCCTTGGCCCATCTATAACTTGGAAAGTATCACTCAAATTTGGATGAAATTTTCACACAAGGTTACTACTATGCCAAGGACGAAAAAGCTGTGCTGCTTTTGAAAATCGATCCAGTGGCGGCAGAGAGAAAGGTCTGAAACAAACAAAAAAACCGCTCAAACTTCTGTTTTTGACGTTTCAGATGCGGCTTATAAATTTCGGAATTTTTTTTGTAGTTAGTAGTGTTAAACATTGGGAAAAGGGTATATCTCAATTGTTTGACGCTGGTATATTCATACGCCTCCAACCACAGTAATTCTACGCACCTATTAGACACACGCATCATAGAAATCCCCGTATATATACCTTTAAAACTTAGAAATAACCCCAACAGAACGTGCGCCGTGTCCGGCTGATGGTCGTGTGTTATACGTCGCAGGCGGTAGTCGCTTCCGTGCTTTCTGGGATGTATGCTGTAAAAGTCAATATCATCATCCACGCCGGATTAGTCATAGCAACGATCATGTCCGCCCGCAAGGATTTCTCTCAGGAGGGGGAGAGCCATTTAATTTTTTGTTATTGATGTTCGTTGTTCGTAGCTAACTCAGTCAACTGACTTGACGCCATTTATTTTTAATATTTCCTTTATTGCATCTTTGGCCGACCGAATTGTTTTGTCGTTTGAAGCGGCCAATCTCTGTCAAGAATCTATTCGTGCGACATTACAATTTTGATTTTACTATAATTTCACAGTTTGAGCCGCTGTTCGTTAAGCGGTTTTGCAGTATAGTAACGATATGCTGTATGAATCTTCACGTACTCATATGTGATGTACAACATTTTTTTGAAATGCTGTTGCTTTTTAGGTGCATGTCCACAACCCTGACACACAGAGTGAGACAAGCGAAGCGGCAGCAAGCACAGATGCCAATAGCGCTGAAACAGGCCACACAGTACACACTTAGATTTGGCCCATTACCCATTCCTTAGGTTCATCAGTTCTAGTCGAATCGCGTGTCTGTAATGTATGTCAAGGACTGAGAGTCACCAGGGTATATTAAAGAAAATAGAAATCACATAGAACTCTTGCATCAATACCAATTTACCAATTATTACTTGCCTGAAATATGGAAACAAATAAAGACTACCAGTTAATAAGACTGCTGTTTCAAACACATGCATGTGCCAGATCCACATGGAATCGACGATTCTCTAAAGTTATTATAAATTTTAATAAATTGTCAGAATGGTCTATAAACTAAATATAACAGACTTTTGTCATCAGGGTGGAGAAAGCAGGAGATAAGGTAGGGTCAGCGGCGTCAGAGAGATTTCCAAAATGGCATGTGTAATGACATTGGTGAGCAACAAAGTTACCATTGACATGTTTGTATTAAATCTCTAATCTTCCGGCATTCTTGATATAATAGATCATATCTGATATTAATCAAAATCATTTTACTCAAAAACTATAGTAGCTAACTTAGTGAAATTATTGGTTTGCATTATATATATTTTGTTAGATTTTTTAAATTATATTTACTATTAAAACAAAACTAAAATTCCAAATGTTTTGTTACTGCAAAAAAGTGCATTCAAATAAAGTTGGTACAACATTATGAACATAATGAAAACTTATTGTGACTACTCCGCATCTCACTATTATCAGTGATTAATGTATTTCACCCGAAGACAAGATTGAGAAGACTGACGTCTACCATAGATTAACGTATTCCACCTGCTATTACATAAACTAGCTCAAAAATAAAAAATATTTCGTCGTCTAGACTAATACAATAAATGTTATGGAATATTAAAGATAAGGAAATTCCGGAATAGTTAAAGATTGATTTAATCACATTCTAATAAATATTTGGTTCCAATTAAATTTTATCACTTCTTCATTAATAACTACGTTAATATTGTCTGATTAAAATATATCGGAAGGTAAGATTTGTGTTGGAAGTACTATGTGGGAGACCTACGGGGAATGAGGCAAATAATATACGATTGCAGGTATATGTGAGTAGCACCCAACTTGACATAACTTTTTGCTTGCATTACTGGTTCAACATATGAGCTTTCATATTACCTGTACATTAAATTTAATACCGCATACATATATTAACACTTTATGTACTGTGTATTATACTATGTCACATATGAAATAATTGTATTCAGACACAAACCAATTTCTATGCTATGTTGAGCTAGTTTATGTGAAGTTGATGTGAAGTAATAAGTATTCGAGAGCGACCATAACAAGTTTTCACTATGTTCATAATGTTGCACCAACCTGATTTGAATGCACTTTTTGCAGAAATAGAAGGAATGATTATTAAAAAAATAATAATATAATACAGAGCAGTGAACTACCTAGCAAACTCTGTATCTCTGTATCTGTGTCTTTATTGCACACTGTCATTACACAGGCTAAATTGAAAATATTTCTCTGGGGCCACTGAGCCTTCATTATTCTTGCTAGACCCTTTCAAATGTTTTTTAAGAAGTAATGAACAGAACATCGTATTCATGAGAACGATTCCAAAACCTAGATATTAATAAGACTTTTGACAATTGGAGGAATCTATGATTTTGTACGTATTTCTTCCAATATGTTATTGACTTATTGCAAAAATTACAGCCACGTCAAACTCGTAACTTTGCCATCATCAGCTTAGCATTTTTTCCAATCAAACTGGATATTAAAATGGCAACGAAATGATTTTTTTGTAATCTCAACGTTGCTTTCCACAAAAGAATATTGTTTCGTTTACTTAAAAGTTGTAAGTCGGTACAGATAAATATTTTCTATTTACGTCGTGTTTCATGTGAAAAGGATACGACGTTTTTATACTCAAGCTGATGTTCAAATTAACTGATTATTTCGACGCTTTCTCTGAAATATACGTATGCATTGTTTTCTTATCCAAAACAAACCATTTATCATCAGTGTTTAACATACAAAAAGTTTTTCTGCGATTTTTTATGAGCTCTGAAGGCACTTTTGTTCAAATAATCTTTGGTGACTCTCGGTAAAATGTAACAATTAAATTCAACATCTCCTTAATGCGATGAAAACAAGCTACTGCGTCGTTTTTTCTCCTCTGTAGGAAGTGGAATGCTAAGCTGTTGAGCAATTGAATTCAACTGAAATCGTCCTATTGCTCTACAAAAATATTTTGCAATGAATTCCACTGTAGGCAAAACTTTTGATTTTCTAATTACTTTATAGTTGCCCGATTTAGAATATGCAACTATATGATTGCTGAGATCTGTTTACCATCACGGGTTTAGGACGTACAGTTGACATTTGACGTGTGGTGCTAGAAGTAATAGATGTTAATTTAAGACTAACTTTTTCTTATTTAGGATCTTTTACATATGTTAACCAAAGACCCATTGATTACATACCCAAACAGTCACTTTGGTGCTGTAGAAGGATAAACTGAATTTAAATATTTTTGGGGCACTAATTTAAAAATGCCTTTCTTTTTTTAGCAGCTCTAGTTTTCGAGATATAAACGTTTTAATATTTGAAAAAGTACAAAATATACCATTTTCCACCCAAAAAACAACATGAAAAAAGGAACATTTTAATCTTGCCAAAGGTCCTAAATGTCCTTCAAACGTCCATTAACAAAATCTCAAAGCATTTTAGGGGGTATTCTTATGTAAACCTTTGTTTTTTTATTTGTAATTGACGTATGTCAATGATGTTGCACCATATAATTGACATTATGCCATTTATAATTAAAAAACAAAGGTTTACAATAACAACACCCCTATTATGGTTTGGGATTTTGTTAATGGATATTTGAAGGATTTAGGAATTTTCAACATTTAAAATTTTGTTTTTTTAATATTGTGTAAAACACATTCTTGAAATCAGCACAACAGAAATATTTAAAATCAGTTGGTGCCTTTCTGGCACCAACTTTGTTTTCATTTTGCTGGTCTGCATTATTGGTGTAAATATATATGTGAATTACGGGATTGATGGGTATGACCTACAAACAGATATTTATATGTACGATAATCAGTGATATTTTTGTTTAATGAAAGATTTATTTAGTAATTTAGTACCTAATAATGATTTAAGTGTACTCTATTATTAACTGTTGAGATGTGATTCGATTGTATAGTTCGTAGTGCATACTGAAAATAAAAACGATAAAATTTGTACAAAGTTTGTTTATTTTTTAATAATTACAGTACATTGTGTGGGTGCTGTCATTTACACTTGCAATCGAAACTTTTTGAAATAACCTCACGTTTTGCCCTTATAGTCCAGAAAATCTGAAGAGTATTTTTGCGTTATTGGCAATGCTAAATGTATTTTGACAAAAATCACTGGACACAGCATTTTAGATTCACTGGAGAAAATTGCATATTTCCTACCTAGAAAAATCTGCGTTTTCAACATTTGGAATGTTCACAATCGTTTTTCAAGGGTGACGCTTTCGATGATGTAGTTTATCCTCTCGTGTTAAGAAAACGTATTTTTACCTTCATGGTAGAAGCAGGGTTTATTCTTATCTCAGATCTTATTACGTCGCATTTGGCGCAAAATAGTACGTCTGAACTTCGAAGTGCCAGTTTTCATTCATAGAATACGTAGAAAATACAATATATTCTTTGGAGGAATCATAACATGATTTTTCAACGAAATATTTTTGGAAAATACCTCGGCATCCAATTTTCCTTTTTTACTAGACTTTATACTGTAGCAGATCATACATTCTGATGCGTTAAAATTACGAATGTAGTATTATCAACTTCTTGTACTAATATGGTAAAATTATGGATATTTGGTAAACATTTTAATGGACCATACAAAAATACTGTGCAATAAAAAACTTGAGAAGTGATACTTTAGTCTATCATCATTTGCGGTTTGAGCTGTAGGCGATCTATGACATGTTGAGGCATGCAGAATGTCGGATTCACTTTTTGCACAGACTCGTGACCTAGAAGTGACATAGCCGCAATTCCAAACAAGGTATGGAAAGGATCTGCAACGTCCCCTGGTCTATCTGCAAATCCCCCAGTCTCAGTGTCTTGACAGGCCAGAATGAATTTTTTCAGAGCTTCTGCATCTATCCAATGTAGCCTTCCAAGGATGCTAAGAGATGATAGCACCCACCATGAGTAGCAAACATCTGGAAGTTTTTCTGGTCGACCGTTCAGACCTCCTGATGGTAACTGACGTTCACATAGCCACCAGGCTAAGGTATCTCTATCAACTACATCCAACCTAAAACAAAATAGTTTATTAGACAAATTAAATATGGAGTCTAGTTGATGGTGAACTGCATATTATGAACATCCTGAGGAAGACAAAACTGGAGAAATAAAATGAGTTTTATTGGGTTACTAAAAATATTTGACTATTCAAAGAACAAAGAAACTTGAAACAGAGAACTCATTTCTCGGTTTGAATTCTACACTGAGTGCAAATTTCATCATTGGTATGACGTGAGGAGTTGGGACTCTTAGGGCCGTATCGTCAGTCGTTCCTACAATTGTAGGACGCCTTCATGGACTCCTTGATTTTCATAGTCCTTCCTCGACTCCAGAAAGGTTGGTTATATCCATTACATATTTGCAAAAAGACTGTATTTCATTAAATTTATCAAAGAGATTCGACAGTCTTAAATCTTAATGGCTCTATAGGTAGTTCAGGAGTGTAGATTCCAGATCCGACATTAATTTCACACTAGGACGCACGGAGGTCCCAAACGACCCTTTTCCTAACTGAAATGCGGACTCGCGAAGCTTCCATTTGCCAAGTTACACTCATTTGTTGCAAGGGTTGGCGAAAATGAATTCTTTTCTTACAAGATGTTTTCGGCTAAATCTTATACATTCAGGGTAACTGGTAATTCACCGTATCCCTTTCAGACCGTGTTAGAATGTCTAAAATGCAACAAAATCCACCCTATATCTGTATAGATGAAAATTAATAATTTTCGAGATTTTTCAATTTTTGTGAAATGGATACAATAATAAAAAATGCAAAAATTTTATACACAACAGCAGCTAATCTAAAAAGCTAAACAGTGTTTTCATTTGTCCTTAGGAAACAGTTGAGTATAGTCTAAAGGTTGTCAGTATATTGCGAGTACAAATACTAGAAAAACTTGCCTGTATTGCCAGCTTTCAAAAAGCAGAGCAAATAAGAATTAATTAAATGACAATTTTAATAACTACTCCAAGTGGATGTACTAATTTCACACAAATATTGCTCAGTCCGATCCTCTTAGTTAGAAATGAGGCCTGCATCAAGTTTTCTAGCTCCGACTTTTGTCGTCTTTGAAGTAAAAGTGATTCTGTTATTTTGCCATATATACACTGACCTAAAGAAGGTGGTCCAGTATATCGAATATCTTGTAACCTGATGATTTCTCGTGTTATGTAATTTCTTAATAGACGCAAAGATGTAGAAAATTACGCGATTGTGAAAGAGATACAATTCTCAGTGGGCCTCAACAGCGATTATGAAAAATCATTAAATGCAATGCCCTGTAACCGAATCATTGATCATTGCCAAATTTTCAACGACTTTGAAGCGTCTAAGGATCGATACATAACACCGACAGTTATGAGGCTATGGATTAAGCAGCTAATGATACACTTTTTTTGTCTCTTGGCGTCTCTGTTTTAGGACTTCAACTTACACTAGGTCACTGCAGTATAATTTTGTAGCAATGTATAATGCTCTAAATAGAGATTTGATCTACTGTAATTTTAAAAGAATGGTTTTCAATTGTCTAATTGATAAATGTTTTTATTCTATTGACGAATTTTCAAATTGTGGATGTTAATACCGTTAAAATGGATCTGTTTTTTACATGATTTTCAATTTTGCCAATTATTTTAATGTGTTATAACATACAGTTTCAAATTTAAATTCATTATTGCATATTTTATAAATGTAACTTCAGATGAGACATTTTTGTTTTTTTTGTCATCTTCATTCTTGTTTGTGACGTGCCATTTGAACCATGTGTTTGTATTTTGACTGAATAAAATACTACTACTATATGAAGTTTTTAACTTGAACTTGGTTCAGGAATGCACCCTTGTACCTTGTATTTCAAATCTGACGTTAATTTAACGCTGCAACTCATGGGTGGTCTCAAACAACCTATTACCTTTCAGGGATATTCTAACTGTCTTATTCGAATTCAATACCCCAAATAAACGTGTAATTCTACCAAGTTTCATTGCAATGGCTGGCAAACAAAAATTTTGTGATAAAAAGTCCTGCAATACTTCCTATGACCAAGTATTACGAATTTTATATATCTGTGTCTTGTTGAAATTTTGTTTCTACAATAAAATGCATAGATTCCAAACCCATCAATTTGGCATGGTCCTGGATGGACCATTTTATGCCTCAAACTTATGACACTTTGGAATTTTAGGACATGCTTGAACTCATTGCCTAAATCATTTAAATGTACCAAGTTCGGTTTGGTAGAAAAACAGCGGATGGCTATGGGGAATAAAAATTGATTTTTTTAAAATTCAGAGATTACTGAAACACTCTGACATACAGCCCATACCCAGAAATGAGTTTTGTGATATAAGACCTATAGAACATTTTATGATTATATTTTTATACTGTCAGTTAATATCAAACAGAGTAAAAATTATAAAACTCACTAGTGGTTCATGAACAAAGGTACACCTACCTGTTGGTGATTGACAGGAAACCAACACAGCAATAAATAAGTCCAGCGTGGCTTTCTGAAAGTGGCCTAGATCCAAAACCTCCATCAAAGTTTTTACAAGACGCAACAAATTCAACAGCTTGGTTCACATCGATAGCATTCAATTTATTCAATAGCGCTAAGGTAGCAACTGCACAAAATGAAAATCTAGTGTCTACTTCACCCCATTTATCCCCCATAAAACTGCCATCTGATAGCTGTAAACTTGCTATGTATCTTACAACTCCATCAAGATCAATTGCGTTTAGGTTGTCATAAATACATAAAATTTGTACAGCACTTAGTGTGTGGAGTATGTGAGGATCATGTTGAAGGCAAGCACTTATACCTCCACTTTCTGGGTCCTGACAGTTTTTTATATACTCAGCAATCTGCAATGAATAATTCTTGGAATTAATAGAGTTAAATGTGAATTGATAGTGTAAAAATGATATTAATATATCTGAGTCTGAGGACTATAAATTATTCAGCTATTTGGGATGTCATATGTTATGGCATCATTCTTGCTACTTTTGTTTGCATTTCTTTAAGTGATGTGCAAACATTTTGACAAAAATTTTGCTATAGTTTTATATAGCTTTATATATTTCACTACATGTTTTGTGTGACCAGACCTATCTATGCGATGGTGATCTCTGGTAATTTTAACATCCACTAGAGAATGAGGAGTCAACATAAAACAGAGGACAAAATTAAGAAATTGCATTACAAATTTTGTTCAGATATACATTTAATATGTTAGCTACTTACTTCTCCTTTACTTTGTTTGGGTAATGTATTCATCAGTTCCAAAGCAGTGAGGCCCCAAAACATACCAGATACTCTCAAATAGTCGGTCATTCCATATTCATAGCTATTTTCCTTTTGGCCATATTCTTTTATGAAATTAGCATGTTTTTCGAAGAGCACACTGATTGGAATGTTCGGTTGTATTTCTATGTCTTTTATAACTGTAGCCATCCTTGTAATAATAGTTTTGTGGAGAAAAAGTGCTGAAGTCGGTTCTCTTGCTATTATCGAATTATTGCTTTCCGAGTTATTCCATTGAAAAATAATGTACTTAATTTTAAACCATCGATAAGTTTAAATTTGAAAATTAGAAATTATACGAAAGATAACCCCTCTTTTAATACATTTTTTTTCTTCTCATCACCTTTTTATTCTTGCAGGGTTGCCAACACTTCGGTAATCAAATCTACTAAATCACACTGCCAGATCTACCAGAAATCTACTAGATGAAAATCATGAATTTCATAAATCTACCAGAAAATCTACTAGTTATAGCTAACCCTCATTTTGCAGTTAATTACGTTTTAGGTTTTAAAGGCGTGTGCGCATATTATGTATTTTTAGTTTTTACTCTAATTTAGATTTTTGGACATTTTTATTATTTCAAATTAGTAATACTATATTGTGAAAATATATTTTGTAAATATTAAAGATAAAGGTAAATCTATAAATAAAAGCAGAACATTTAGTAATATTGCAAAAATATATTTTATCTAGAAACGAAACAAAAATAGACGCATTAATTTTAGTCCTTGCACGAATAATAAAAAATACACTTTCTAAAAATAAAAATAATTCACTATTAATACAGTCAAATCTTGCGTTTTCCTTATGCATTCTTTTAAACTAGGGTCCTTTAACCATGCGTCTCGAAACTTTTGAGTATATTGCGGTTTAGGCATGGTTCTGTAATCTGTAATACATAATAATTCAAAGTAATCTACATCATATATGTATCAGTATCATGCTCACTTACCAAAATCAAATAATTAGGCAGGCAGTCTTAAAATAGCAGAATAGTATGCTATAGCTACTAGAAAGCACACAAATTATACTGTAAATAATGTTCAAAAATCACCTAAATCATCGTATACGAGATAAACTTCAATTGTCTGTGCAAGAAAAAAACAATGTCTGTGATTCCCGTGTAGTGATGTAAAATAATTAAGTAACGCTTACAAAATAATCGTTACAAATGAGTAACTAAATGTAACGAGTCCTACTTTTTGAAAAGACTCGTTACTTTTTATTTGAATTCGTTACTTTGAATGCGATACGGTATTTTTCTATGTATACTTTTTAATTACTGTTAGTTACTACACAATACATTACTTTAGATACAAACGTTACTGGGATCTAATGTAGACAGTACTGCCAGCGCCAGCAGCAAGTGACTTGGTTCTTGGATGTAAACTGGGTGGAAATGAAATGATGTGAATATCGTTAGGCTTAGGCAACTTTAGATACTCTTCTATCAAACGAGTTGCGGACTGCGGAGCTTTAGGTTGGGAATGTTTGTGTACACCTGTACACTTTTCATTTGACTTTGAGAGCTACCGGTTGGCGGGTTGTTACTGGTTTGGACGTTGCCGTACAAGCTCGAGCAATAATATAATTATTATTTGTACAAAAATATGGAATCATCCGCGTCCGGTTCAGGAGAATCGCAAACTCAAAAAAGAAGTGTTATTTGGATGCATTTCCCCAATATATCGGAAGCTAATGCGAAGTCTAATCTTTGTAAAAATATTTATTCGCATAAAAATGGAAACATTAGCAATTTGAGGAAGCATTTGAAAACTAAACATCCGACTCTTTCATTGGAAGGAGAAAGGGCAAAACGGCGGGTGGAAGACGAAAATATGCCTAGGTGCAAAAAGAACTTAGTTTCAGGTATGTTTTATTATTATAAGTATTTTGTTGAACACCATTTACAGTGGAGTTACCAGACTGTTAAGTAGGGCAGGGGAGTAACCAGACTGTTAGGGCAGGAGACGCTACTCAACTAAAGTAAAGAGTGAGGAGAGTGGTTCCTCCACGGTCCCCATCTGGTTATGCCACTTGTTAAATACTATTTACAGCGTACAGCCGACGAACCAGACGTCACACAACGACGAGTTTAAAATATAAGTACCTTCTACGTATCAAATATCAAAAAAATTAATAGGCAAGGCATTAGACAAAAAATAATAATTGGATCAATCCCAAAGTAATAATTTGATATAATATATAGAATGTAGGTTCTAAACGAAATGTCCAAATAGTAACTAAACTAACGAGTCCAAAGTTCGAAAGTAACGAGTCCTTACAAGTCCTAAAAAGTAACGAAACTTTGCATAACTATTCCCGTGGATGATGCTCAGAACGTGACGTGATCAAATCACGTGACAAAAAGATGGCGGCTGAATTTCTCGCGCCATCTACCGAAGGAATTGGCAAACATCATGCAGTTAGTGATGTGCAACCCCAATAGATGTCCCAAAACGAGGCGCAAAATCATTCATCTGACTTTCATACCCCTGATTTCCGACAAAGGAGAACTAAGAGAAGAAGTACGCATACGCAAATTAATTCATTGGTTCTGCCATCTATCGATTCGATGTTCAACTAAATCAAAATAGGATATTTCCCAATGACAGTTTGCTACTTTCTTGAATTATTACTTCAATTGACAAATTGACATGAGTAACTGAGGTTCATAATGATATAAATCGAAAGTGGCTTACTAATTATTCTGATTCTTTCATTCTACTGGATTTTCTACTAGCCACTAAAACGTAAATTTGCCCACTAAATGAAGACTGCAATCTACCAGATCTAGTAGAAAATCTACTAAGTTGGCAACCCTGTATTCTTGTCATTGTCTAAATCAGCTGTCACGAAGTGACGAACTATCAGAATAGTGTCGTCACTGTCGTCTGTCGTCTGCATAAGTACAGTTTTTTCGCGAGATCCCGTAGTGAACCGGAGTGGGAACAGATGGAATTTCCCCTTCACCTCGAAGTTTTGACAGTTTCAAGTTACACCGGGAGTGGTTAGATGTCGCATGTTGCCCAAAATGTTTGCTTTGAGCTCCTTGATAAACTTAGCTGCCTTGTTTGAATCTGAAATAAAGAGGCCGACCGTTTTTTGTGCAATGTACATATATATCAATAAAATCAATCATTTGATATGACAAGTGCGGATCATATATCTTCGATGACCTTCATTTAAAATCAGGTGGACGTGTTCCTCCATTTATGATTTAATAATTTAACTCAATTTTCGGCACTGTGAAGACAAATTTTCAATTGAGATGGCTATTTTTTTAAATAACATTGACATAAGACCTGTCACCCGCTACTACCTCACAGACGTTAGGCGGGTACCGTACTACGTGATTTTTTGACATTCGGACGACGTCACATTCGTCTTCCCTATTCACGTTCTTCGCGAAAATTTGAGGATCGGTTCCCGGTAGTGCACTGTGCTACACCGTGGACTCGTGAAAAAATCCTTAGTGTTACGACAGAATAGCTGGACAAGAAGTTTCACTCCGCCAAAATTTTCAAACATTTTTCAGCCAATTTAGATAGAAAGATCAAATTTCGCCTATCACGGGCAACGCCAGATAATCCCTCACCAGGCTGCGCGAAGTAGACAACAGTTTTGGATTTAGGAAGTATCTGAGTAAATATGATTACTATGTATGTAATTATCTGACCATTTGGACAGTGTCAAAGTTGAGTATAACAATTTTCACCAAAATGATTGAGTATCACACATGGTACACTTTAGTAGTTTGATAATTTACTTAGGTAACACCAAAAACGTGACTCGCGACTATATTCGATATACTTGTGCTTATAATTAATAATAATTCTGTCAGAGTGGTTACTTGCAGGTCCCCACTGGTTGGTAGTTAAAAAGTGCGAGGGTGGAATTGCATACTGGAGCATCACGCGCGTTTTGAGAACATACATTTTGGCTACTCTGGGGCCTCCATATAAAGCGTTCCAAGGCCCGGCAGACAGTATTTCGTTTCACATTAGACCCGCCTCTGAACAGTATTGTAGCGTTTTTTTGGGTTATTATGGATGTGGATTAAAACACTGGATTCCACAATAAAATGCACTAGTTTATTTAAAACACAACTAACCTTAACTTAACTAGATAGAACATTTATGTACACAACTGTTTATGTCTGACTACTTATTTACGAATTATTATGTCGCGCCATCAACTCTACTCTGCTTTCTTCTCCCGTCCGCATCGCAGGTACTCTTTGATTCGAGATCGAGAAGGTTCCGGCACGCCACATAGCCTGCCCAGAATCTTCGAGGTCAGTCTTCGATCTAGAAGGAAAGTCCCTGACACGGTCCTCAACAGATGATGCCAGCACCGAAGGACAGCCTCTGGCACGGTCCCCAACAGATGTCGCCAGCAGTGAAGGAGAGTCTGGCGCGGCCCTCAACAGATGACGTCAACAGAACGATTCATTCTTGTTACAGTATGGTGTACTGTTTACATGTATATAGTCAATATCGTGCTATTAGAAATTATTAGTTTACAACAGCTAGATAAGGTTTTTTTAGGTATTAACTCTTTGGCGAATGTCACACGAACAGCATTTACTGTGGCTTGTACCATCCAGTATTTACTGATCATTCCGTCAATGTCAGTTGTTTCTACTTCTACGTAACCTTATGGGTCAATAATCTGTGCTGACAATAATAAATGATGACGTCCTGGCTAGATACCAGGTATAAAGTCATGCTGATTTCTTCTAATTTTTCGTTTTTCACTTATTTCGCCGCTATAGCTGGTGGAGGCATATGAAAAGCTATTTTATCATTGATAGTACTAGCTTTGTGTCAAAATTCCAACAAAAGCCGAGCAGTAGTTTCCAGTCTAGAAGAATATAGGACCTCCCACCTTTTCCACAGAAATCGTTTCAAAGACCCTTGCTTTGGCTCAATACAGCTGCCCATATAGATAACCTTTACTGCTTATTCTTGCGAACTGAGAGCCTTCTGGTCAATAGGAGCACATTCTTTTGGCAATATGAGAGCCCGTGTCTGTTTTGCGGTGGCGTAAATGTTACTGGAGAGGCAGTCTTATATTATAATAGATAATTATTTAAGTTACCACCTGCAGCAGCATAGTATTACCAAGACACTATAGATAGTTGGAACATCAAATAATGGCGCCAGTTCCATTTTTTTCATTTTTCGTGATGCTCTGACTGTTTGATATTAGTGATGGCATCCCCTTTCGGAGTTGGCTAAAGTTAATTTTGCCCAGTTGCCATCGTTCTCCTTAGAAATCCTGGATTCGACTTTGGTTCTAGAAAGGATCAAATATGTTGACGTTGAAGCTGATCTGTGGATGGGTGACAGCGTTGCCAGATGTACGATAATTATCGTTTCTGTACGATAATTTCAAGTACTGTACGATGTGTAGGATAATAGCTGAATGTACGATAATTTTGCGAATGAGCTTTTTTTACTCACAGATGTTGAATCAATCTAACAACTACGTTCAATTAACACCAGCAAGCAGCTCTCAGTGTTGTCGCTTGGTAGACAAGCGCGCGTACCCCACTCTGTATAATGGGTTGCCTAGCGTTACGCGAACTATCTCGGCAAACATCGACGGGATAAAATTGCCGTCATACAGTTCTCACGTTCTATGTATTGACATGACGCACATATTTTTATTTACCCATGTGCATTAGATGAAATGAATGCCGTTTTTATGACTTTTCATACTTAAAAATCAAAAGATCGTTTTCAGTTATTTTCGATATTTAACCGGTTTCAATTCAATAACGATAATATGTCGGATTCCGAATCAAGTTGCTCTGGAAGAGAGAAGCACAACAAAAAATGCGATACTCTCGAATACAGAAAACAAAAAAAAGGAGCGGAAACTTTGAAGAAAGCACACCTTATATGAAAGAGTGCGGAACAAAAGATTCCCCGAGACAGAAATTTTCCTTCATTATAAGAGAACCTAAGGCACGGTGTAGAATAATGTACGATAATTTTGACGTATTTGTACGATAATTCCCTGCGACGAATCTAGCAACGCTGATGATGTATATTCTTTGACTCAGTGAGTCGTTACTATAGACAACACAATACTCTCGTCAGCTTCGAGGCCGGTCGGTAATCCTATCGTTCAAATGAACGACTCAGTGAAGAGAGATGAACGAAATGAGAGAGCTCAGACAAAAAAGTCGTCTGTCTCAAGCCTATACCTAAATAACATAATTATAGAACATAAAGAATCTCAGAGAGAACATAATTATGATCGAGGACGACAACCATTCATTCAAGTACAAGACACTGGGTTGACAGTGGCGCTGCAACCTACAACGTCAGTTAGCCTGCAGCACGCTGCAGTAGTGCTGCGGGTCAATGTTGCCAAGTGTAGTGAAATTTCACTAGATCTAGTGATTTTCGAACAAGTTTTGTGATTTAGTGAAAACTTTAGTTAGTCATATTTCTAGTGATTTTTTGAAAGGTTTGTGGCAAAAAAAATTTAAAAATACAATGAAAAAATATAGAAATTCAACCAAAAGTTGGTAAGAAGCGTATACAATTATATGCATCGCAGTTTTAAAAGATTTTTGGAATCTCAAACATTTTTTAACATCAAACGCCACAAATTATTGCATTCATCACAGACCAGTTGGCTGTCACTGATTTCCGCTGTAAGTAGAATTATTGAGCAATAAGATGCTCTAGAGAATTATGTTACTGTTTTTTTGTACCTCAATGTACAACTAATAACGACGGCAGATCGATCCATTGTACGGTTTCTCCGGATTGATTGATTACAGTTTGAAAATGATGCAAATTCATTGCCGGATCCAATTGACTTCGGCTGAATATTTTCTAGACACGCCGCTGGTTAATATTTTTGTTTTTTTAGAATATTCCATGGATACACAATATTTTTCTAATTGCTATTTTCAAAATTGAAGGTATTACAGATATCCAATAATGACAACAGAAGATGAAAAATGATTTTTCCATGTTCAACCAGATTACAGGATGTTTTG